ATAAACTGTTGTTAAAAAAAAATCTTTTTGAAGAAGAAACGCGTCGGAGCGTGTCGCTCATTTCGATATATCGCAAAAAACAAAAATATATATAATATTTGTTTAAAGTATATTTGTTAAGAATTTAAAAAAATTTTTTATATAATTTATTTTATTTTATTTGCGCTATATTTTCTCTAAAATAACAATTCTACACGGAATGTCTCTCTTGTCAACAAGTTTTGTTACACAGAATAAGAAACAATCAAATTAACTATTGATATATATCAAGTTTAAACGTATTCACTCAAATATATTCAAGTCTAACTAATTAACAATATCAATCGCGTATCGTATCGTAATTAATCACGAGTCAAAAGAAAATTAATCATGATGAATTTCGATCGATTTCGATGTCTTTCGATTGTATTCGCGTATCAAACTGACTACTCTCAAGAAAGGATCTTTTGACCGTGATATAAGTAAATATTATCATATAAATAAATAAATAAATATATATATATATATATATAGAGAGAGAGAGAGAGAGAGAGAGAGAAAATGGTATTGTCATTGTATACTTGTACAAAAAATAGAAAAATTATTTTAACCGATTACAAAGAAGAAAGCAATATATCATTTTTCTCTCTTCGATTCGACACCTTTTTTCATTCTCTCTTTTATGCTGATACTATTCATTTATTCGTCATTTTCCCTTATAATTTCTTCTGCTAGGATTTCTCACTCTCCTCCCACGTCTTCAAATATATCTTGTGCTGTATTATGTTGGGATTAAATATAATTGTCCAAAGTATTTGAAAATGTTATATATAAACGCATTTAAAAAATCTTTGAATTATTAATAATATTAATTACGTGTGCATTCAAAATGCGACGCAATGAAAAATCTTTCAAAGGAAATTAAGTTACACGTACACACATGCAAACGTCATTATATTCGCGCGTTTATATATACGTATATATTTAAAAAATTTCTCTCTCTCTCTCTCTCTCTCTTTATCTCTTATTTTAATTATATTTACGTAAAATAAATAATTACTCAAAATAACGAATGCAGATTTTCTCTCTTCCCAAAACTTGCAAACGTTCTTTTGCGCCAAAAAAGAAACCATTGAATGAAAGTGTGTCAAAAGAAAGCATATTTGTTTACACGTGTAAAAAGTGTTTGACTAATTAACAGTATCAATCACGCGTGCGTGAAAATGAACTGATCGTGAAACGAGACGTGAATTTCGACCGATTTCGATATCTCTTTGTATTCGCGCGTGTAACTGACTTTTTTTCGAGGCATGATTTTTTGTCTAAATTCCAATATAAAGAAATATACACACATACAGAGAGAGAAAGAGAGAAAGAGGTGGAGTTCATTATTGTGTACACAGAGAAAATTTTCTCTTAGAGTTTACCCTAAAAATCATGGTAATCGTGAGACAATATGATATTTATTAAAAGAATTTTATGAGTTTTTCTGATTAATATTTACCACAATAAAAGTATTAATATCTACCACAATAATATATACTCGATTAATTTTACTATGTACATGTAATAGTAAAATTTATTATGTATCTATTAATATTTTTTATGGTGGTAAATATTAATCGGAGAAACTCCTATAAAATTCTTCCAACAGCATATTATCCTATCTCTCTATATATAAATATTTTATTATTTAAAAAAATAATTAATTATTAATTATATAAATAATTTATAATAAATTTAAAATAATTATTAAATAAATTATAATTAATTATAATTATCATGATTTTCAGGGTAAATTCTAAAAGAAAATTCTCTCCGTGTGCATACATATGTACATAGAAAAGCAATTACAACTATAATTATAAAATAGAAAACGATATATCGTCCTTCTCTTCCATCCTCTCTCTGTCTTTCACTTTTTCATTCTGATTATATTATTACATTAATGAAGTTTTTTGTGCCATCGTCAGTCGCATATTCATCTGAGAATTTTTAATAACTATATTATTATTCCGTATTATGTCAGAATTAAATATATTTGTCCAAAGTACTTGAAAATGTCTTACGTAACGCGCGTACAAAATCTTTGACTAATTAATTACGTATTAAAATGAACTCCTATTATATATTATTGCAAAATCCTATAATATATATATATAGCATTTGCTTTCTTTTTTAATAAAAGCATTACAATTTATTTGCATATTTAATATAAAAAAATAAAAATTTTAAAAATGACAAAAAATAAATTTTAAAAAATTAAGAAACAAAAATTAAAAGACAAAAATTATGCTCCCTTCTGGAAAAAATCTTACAGACGTCCATGCTGATCGTATCTTGCCCTAGCATTCGAAGATAAATTGAAGAGTTTGCATTTCGACGGATGTATGCGAAAACGATCTCTATTTTTACACGGAAAAGAGCAAAGAATAATTTCAAGTGTCTCTCGAAATGTTTCCCAAATATTTGGAAAATTAAGAAAATTTATAGAGAAAGAAATAAACTTTTATATTTTTTTGCAAAATTTACTTTTCAAGAAAATCACATTTAAATTATTATTATTTATTGTGAAATGCACACACAGTAAATGTCAGTTTAAACAAATAAGATTTTCTCTATCTCTTTCTTCCTCTTTTCTTTTTTTGATCATGGTTTTACCTGACTGTAATAAAAACATAATAAGGAGTTTGCGTTTCAGATTTTATGTGCGTATCCGTTTAGATGTGTAGGCGTATAAGAAATAACTAATAATAAATATGCGTCGTTTATTTTTATCTAACGATAAAATAAACGCAGAACTAATGAATCATAAATTTTGATTAATTCGATTTCCGATCGAGAGATAATTTTACACCGTGTTCGCGAAATAAATTATTATTTATACACAGGAATTGTTAATTATATATATATGTATATATATATAAGCATTAGAGATTCTGAGCATTAATATTATATATCGATCCTTTTCGATTTAAGGAGCATTTGAGTGATTTTATTGGACGAGTGACGCGTCCACGTGAATTTCACTTTGATATTTCTTAATTTTTTTCTTATTATATCCGGATATTCTGAAAGCAACGCCATTCTGAAAAACTCGTATTTCTATATTGTCGAGAAAGATCCGACAACGACCTTCACTCCCACGCGAGAGCTGCGAATAATAACTCACGGAATATCTCTTCCTCCGAAGGACGAGAATACTGAAAAAAAGTCTCCGAGTATCGAAATATAAATTTTATGAAGAGAGACGAGTTGTAAAAAAATAAAATTTTAATCTTTTTTTGAACGATTTTTTCTCTAACATAAAATTAATTCATATTTTTTAAGTTATGGAATAATGAATAATAAATGTCAATGTTGATGACAGATTTTCTTCCTTCCTCCTCTCCTCTCTCTCTCTCTCTCTCTCTCTTCTTTCATCCCTCTTTATTTAGTCACTTAGATAATTAAAGAGATTTCCCTGTTTTTGAAAATGCTCGTTTTATATTATACGAATTAAACTTTCCATAAATTTAATTTTCCTCTTATTTATAGCGCAAATGACAAAAAAAGAACGTTCCTTTTCCTTTGTGAAAATACAATTTGCTCAGCTTTAGTCGCAATTTAGCTCACGATGAATAGTTGCATTTCGCTGCAAACGACTGTATAAACGGTTAATATATATTTTGCCGCAAATCACAAAGGCGTTTCAATATTTAGCTTACAAGTTCAATATTTACGGGCTTACTTAACATTCTCGGATGAAAAAAAACGAGTTTGCGCAAATTAAGCCGCAGAATAGCAAATAGGTAACGAAATCTCATGCCCGTTTAATTTCAACGAAACTTTCAGTGTCGATAATTAAAAAGTTTTCACAGATAGTATTTCTCTAGATAGATACAATTTCAAAGTCAAAGAATTCGTAGGTATTTGGACATTCTGTGCAGAATAATACTGCGAAAGAGAAAAAAGAATTTAATTAATCACGAAGCCACAGGGGTTTCCCAGGATTAAATTCCAGTAAAAGAAAGAAATCGACTAAAAATCGTAGAATCTTTTAAAAAAGTTTAATCAAATGAAATAAATTTTATATCACGCGATAACATAAAAAGAGAAATATATATATTAATAAAAACGATTAGAGTCAAACGATTGAAAAAAATTCAATTTTTTAAACGGTTGACATATATAAATGTAATTCCAATTCCTTCGAATTCCACCTTTTAATTTATCTCTCTAATATTTTAATTCCCTAAGTAAAATTTCTTTTAATTTTCATTTTTAAATTTCTCTTCTTCAGAGACACGGGATAATAAATAAAAAGACGAAGAGAAAAAGGGAAATTTAAAGGTTTGAAAGAAACTCTTTAGGGAGGATTTAAAGACTTAAAATTTTCAATTCTCAGAGATCAAGCAATTTTCAAGAATTTTTTTCTCATCGTCACAATAAAAATTTTCATGCGACACAATGATGACATTTAAAGCCAACATAATTTTGGCGAATCTCTCAGCGAGCTCCCTCATATCACACATATACAGGGTGTCCCAGAATTATCGGACACCCTGTTAATAAGAAAATTCCTCAGGTTATTTGGAGACGATTTTTCCTCAGCAAAAATGTCGAAAAAGGTCATCATTTCTTTTGCATGTTCTCAATTTTTGCCATCATGAATCTTTGTAACTAAGCCTGAAATTAAAATTCTACTAAAGTAAACTCTGCCTGAAATTTAATAATCGAAGAACGTGATTTTGTTAACATTTTATTTCCACAAGCTTTAGTTTGTGAAAAATTTTTGCCGAGGAAAAATCTCCAAATAACCCGAGGAATTTCCCTATTAACAGGGTGTCCGTAATTTTGGGACACCCCGTATATCCACGCACGCCGAGATATACTCGCGAATATCATACCGCGGGAATATCCCATTGACACGAACGAGCATAGAGATTGTTTTCGCGATATTACACCTTTTGCCTTCCCGTTTATCCTTCCGGCGCGACGACGCGGCTTGATTTGACTCGACGTGAACTTTCGCTCGGCAGATATAACAAACGGACGAGGTCGACGCTGATCCACTGAGGGACCCTCGCTTCCTGGTGACCTCAGCCATGTTCGCCAAGTCCAGAGGCAGCAGTACGACGCCCTGCGATCTGCTCCCGGACCCGATACGCAACACCTACGAGATCGGGAAGCAGTCAGCCACGGCTGGACCGGAAATGTCTGGCGCATCTACGACGGCTACCGGAAGAAGGACCGAATGGTATGTAATTCATTGTTCAAAACAATTGTTTGGATTTTTTTTTCGAGCAGGAGATACAAAATATAAATCAATCTTCAAATTAATATCGTAACATTTATTGAACGTTTCGTGATTTTACTTATGTATGTAATTAATTATTAATAAATAATTGGTAAACGTTTGGGCCTTTTTTCGAGCAGGAGATACAGAACAATTATAAATCGACATCAATCTTCAAATTAATCGTCACATTTATTGAAAGCGGAACGTTTCGTGCTTTTACTTATGTATGTAATTAATTATTAAAAACAATTGGTAAATGTTTGGGCCTTTTTTCGAGCAGGAGATATAAAGTAATTAAATCGACATTAATCTTCAAATTAATCGTGACATTTAGTGAAAGCGGAACGTTTCATGCTTTTACTTAAGCTTTCCTCAGCCGCAGAAATTAATGACGCTGTATGTTTAACGCAAACTTCTCATCTTTGTAGTAAGAATAAATATATATAATGTCAAACGGTAAAAAATAAAATGAAATTATGATGTACATGTCAAAAATTGTAGTATAACACACAACATGTTTTCTTAATATTAATTGCTGTGTTATGGAACAAATAATGACAGAAGGAAGGCTTAAGTAAAAACACGAAACGTTCTGCTTTCAATTATTGTTATGATTAATTTGAAGATTGATGTCGGTTTAATTATTTTGTATCTCCTGCTCGAAAAAAGGCCCAAACATTTATCAATTGTTTTTAATTCTATTATCGAGCTTCTTATTCTAATTGCAATTAATTATGTTTATATTTGGCGTGTTCGCGAAGGAGTCGATATTTTTTTTCCTCGTCTCCTAACATCCAGTGTTGTGCTTAGATGATTTTAAAATTAGCTAAAAATGAGATAAAAATATTATAAGTAAATTTATCTTTGATAAATGAAGATGATTTTTTTTAATATATCTAGATAAAAAATATAATTATAATTATGGCGATTCATCTAGATAATTCTTTAGATAATATTTTTAAAGACTGCTTTATATAAACACAGTTATTAAAAAAATGTAAATTATAAAAAGGATATAAAAATATATGTATTCATATTTTTATTTATAAATGTTTATCGCTTATTGCTTAAATTCTACTATTTAAGTATTTTTATGTGCTATAATTCTATAGCAAAATTATCTGAAAATTATTCTAGATTAATTTAGTAAAGATAATACCTTTTTCATCTAAGATGCAGATATAGATAATATTGTATATATTTTTATATAAAGATAAGATGACACCAAGGTTTCGTCTAGATGATCATCTATATAATTTTATTTGGATAACAGCAAACATTGCAAATTGACGAGCTGTATCATTTCTTTCAGGAATTTATCTTCGGAATTGAAACGCGAGAATCGATCCGAAACAAGTTGGCGGATAACGAAATCCGTCTCATCGTTCTCGCGCCTCAACCTTATTTGATCGCTTTCGGAATCGATTTCTCGAATTGGATTACTTACTAATCCGCGATCCAATCGTCCCCTTGTCTCTTTCTATCTCTCTTTCTCTCTCTCTCTAGCCAGATGTCATCATTAGAAGGAAGGAAGATTGAATCGCGCGATTAAGGTGTTATAATGACAGACACATCTCGAAAGAGATCTCGGTCCTTAATTTAGATAATTAAACTCTATTGCATTTGTTGCTGTTGCCTTACATTAAACAAAAATATTTCTAATTCGGAGAAAGCATTAAAAAAAAAAAAAAATCATTTCTAATTTGGAGAAAGCTTTGATTTGCAATGGAAAAATACATACTTCTTAAAATTACTCAGAGAGAATTTTCTTTTAGAATTTATCCTGAAAATCATGGTAATAATGGGACAATATGGTAAGCGTTTCTCTGATTAATATTTATCGCAATAAAAAATATTAATATCTACAACAATAAAATATAAAATGTGTTTGATTAATTTTACTATGTTCATATATTAATATTTTCTGTGATAAATATTAATCAGAGAAATTTTTAGAAAATTGTTCCAATATACTATATTGTTCCACGATTATCATAATTTTCAGGATAAATTCTAAGAAAAAATTCTCTGCGTGTATATATTTCATAAAATATATAATTATAAATAAATATAAATATGTATAATATTAAATATACAAATAAATATAAATATATATATTTCATAAAATTCAACTTTATATAAAACTAATAAATAAATATATATTATTCATCCGAATATAATTTCACAAATCTTTATGCTCTCTAATGCTCTGAAAATAGCTTTCAATATAAGAATACATATCGGAAAATACTGAACGCCATTCTACTGTCAAAACGAAACTTTTCAATGAACATTTTATTCCAGAGAAAAAGAGAAGAGAGAGAGAGAGAGAGAGAGAGAGAGAGAGAGAAAGGAAGAAAAAGAAAGAGAAAACGAGCGAAAAGGATTTATATATTTTACTCTGAATAAATCTTTCACTTTTCTCTCGATTTACGATAAAACTACAATAACACATTCCATATTTCGCTCGAATTCACTTCCTGCGATTGGAAACAATTCAGACGAAGGATAAAAAAATATCGAATTCTTTGCGAACGCCAAATATAATTACATATCCAGTGATTGGCTGTTATCTAAATAAAATTATATAGATGATCATGTAGATGAAACTTTCGCGTCATTTTATCTTTATATGGATAATAAAAATATGTATTATCTATATCTGCATCTTAAATAAAAGAAACTATTATCTTTTATTAAATTATCTAGAATAATTTTCAGATAAAAATATTTAAATAGTTAAGCAATAAGACATAAAAATTCATAAATAAAAATATGAATACATATAATTTTATATCCCTTTTATAATTTACATTTTTTTAATAACTGTGTTTATATAAGCAGTCTTCAAAAATATTGTTTAAAAAATTATCTAGATGAATCGCCATAATTATAATTATATTTTTTATCTACATGGAGAGAATTTTCTCTTAGAATTTACCCTGAAAATCATATGTTAATTGTGGGTCAATACGATATTGGAAAAATTTTATAAGAATTTCTCTGATTAATATTTACCACAATAAAAATATTAATACGCACATAGTAAATTTTAATATTAATTATAATTAGTATATTATAATTAATACATATAAAGTAATATTAATTAAAGAAATTTTTATAAAATTCTTCCAATACCATATTGTCCCACGATATCCCATGATTTTTAGGGTAAATTTTAAGAGAAAATTCTCTCACAATCAGTGTAGATATATTTAAAACAAAATTATCTAATCTAAGACAAATAATTTATATATTTTTTCTCATCTTTATCTAGTTAATTTTTCAATCATCTAAACACAGACACTCAGACACTCTCAATTCGCTTGCAGGAGGTCTCGATCTTCCTGTTCGACAAACGCTCCGTGGAGAAGCTGCACAAGCCGAAACGCAGGGAAACGGTCACGGACATTTTGCGAGCTGGCGCGACTCAGATGGAACGATATTCGCATCCGAAGCTCCTGCAGGTACGTAAATATATACGTATATGTATACGCGTGTGCATTAAATAGGCCAAGGTGAAGTGCGAGAAGTTTCTCTCCCTCCTCCAGAATGGGTGGCCATATTCCGTCATCCCCTTTTCCGTCCGTATCTTCTACATTTCACAAGTCGACTAAATCGAACTAAAATAATTTCGTCGATAGAGAGAGAGAACTCTTGGCCTTTATACAAGTTTATTTTCCAATTTGCTCGAAACTTCTCTGATGTATGCAAGATAATTGATATAAGTATCGTCGCAATAAGCTAATTATATATATATTTTTTTCTTTTTAATTCGCATTTGTTTGTCTTGAAAGTCGTCTCGAGATGCAGATATACAAAAATATGCAGTATGAGAAAATTTATTTATTTATTAGGTAAATTTATTTTGATTAAAGAAGCGATAGAGAGTCATTTTCTTCCTAAAATAGGAAATTATATTTAAAACATGATATACGTATTGCAAAAATATGCCGTATGAGAAAATTTATTTATTTATTTATTTATTAGATAAATTAATTTTCCGTCCGTATCTTCTACATTTCACAAGTCGACTAAATCGAACTAAAATAATTTCGTCGATAGAGAGAGAGAGAGAACTCTTGGCCTTTATACAAGTTTATTTTCCAATTTGCTCGAAACTTCTCTGATGTATGCAAGATAATTGATATAAGTATCGTCGCAATAAGCTAATTATATATATATTTTTTCTTTTTAATTCGCATTTGTTCGTCTTGAAAGTCGTCTCGAGATGCAGATATACAAAAATATGCAGATATGAGAAAATTTATTTATTTATTAGGTAAATTTATTTTGATTAAAGAAGCGATAGAGAGTCATTTTCTTCCTAAAATAGGAAATTATATTTAAAACATGATATACGTATTGCAAAAATATGCCGTATGAGAAAATTTATTTATTTATTTATTTATTAGATAAATTAATTTTCCGTCCGTATCTTCTACATTTCACAAGTCGACTAAATCGAACTAAAATAATTTCGTCGATAGAGAAAGAGAGAGAGAACTCTTGGCCTTTATACAAGTTTATTTTCCAATTTTCTTGAAACTTCTCTGATGTATGCAAGATAATTGATATAAGTATCGTCGCAATAAGCTAATTATATATATTTTTTTTTCTTTTTAATTCGCATTTGTTCGTCTTGAAAGTCGTCTCGAGATGTAGATATACAAAAATATGCCGTATGAGAAAATTTATTTATTTATTAGGTAAATTTATTTTGATTAAAGAAGCGATAGAGAGTCATTTTCTTCCTAAAATAGGAAATTATATTTAAAACATGATATACGTATTGCAAAAATATGCCGTATGAGAAAATTTATTTATTGATTTATTTATTAGATAAATTAATTTTGATTAAAGAAGCAATAGAGACGACGAGAGGCATGTTCTTTCTGAAATGGAAAATTATATTTAAAACACAATACGTATTGCAAATATACCCACACATAGTGAAATGTAATTGGAAACAGGATTATTTGGAAACGAAATGGATGGCAACGAATTTGGTCAATTTATTCGGGACGTTTCCGCTCGGAACGCTCAAATATTCGTCCGTGATTATTTTTCACGAGCCATACACATATAAAATATATATATATATATATATATATATGATGTAGGCGTACAAAGTGGAGGAGTGCGCGGACACGTTAGCCTTCGCCTCGGAACCGGTCCTGGCCAGCCTAGCGAACGTCCTGGCGTACAAGGAACAACTGGCAAACACCCTCGCGGCGCAGTCCTCGGGACCGCTGGGGAAGCAGAATCATCCCCCGACCACGAGCCACCATCGTTCGACCTTCGTGAAGGAGTACGAGCTGCTCGAGCTGGAGATCAAGTACGGCCTTTTGCAGGTGATAACAAGATCTCCCGATAGAAAGTCGCATTCTTCTTTTTTCCAATAAAATTGCTCCTATACACATGTATCCTTGGGATATATTTCATTGTTTTCTCTTCGCGAAAAATTGTAGAATCTAAGTGCACGTGGGAATGAATATTTATACGTTATTTTATAAAAAGCCGCAACTGTGTGTTATATTAAAAAAATTTGAATTGATATTTTATTTGAAAAATGAATTATTATTTTGAAGAATTTTATTGCCTTTTTTATCAATATAAAATATATAATATTTTTTAATTAATGGTTCGTCAAAACAAGATAAAAATTCTGTACCTATACAATTGTTCTATTTTATCAAAATGAATTATTTTCTCATGGCAAAAATAACGTGATAAATAGTAGCGATGAATATTTAAAAAAAATCTTTGTATTATATTATTCAAAAAGAAATTAATCGTCTTAGTATAACATCGTAATGATTTTTCAGAAATACAAATTACGTAAGAAAAGCCAAATTTCCGTTTAAAAGAAGGAATGTCATCGGATGTCCGCCATAGAAATTGCGCAACGCGCTTCAATTCTCTTTCTTACGCCTCAAGTATTCCCGATAAATCAATTTTCGTGAATTTCTCTCGTTTGTCTCCATTTTCACGATGAAAAGAAAACGAACGATAATTATACTTTTCGCGGCTCCACAAATACAGGGTCACCCGATAATGGGATTCGTCCATTAGCAGTTAAGTTGTCGTAAGCGTGTAAAACGAGATCGGGGTGAACGAAAAAAAAATCGACGTAGCGTATTTTTAAGCTTTTCTCTCTTCACCTATATCGTTTCACAATATTGAAATATTTTTTCTCCTTTCTCGCTTTCTTTTCTCCAATACAATAATATTTAATACGATCTATATATATATATGTATACATTCACGAGCTTTCGATAGAAGTTATACATGTTTCTAAAACTACATGCCAAATATTTTAATGGCGTATTTTAGGGATCAAAATAAGAAAAAAAGTTCCTATAAACATGAGTCCAAAAATGATTTTTCTCCGAGTTACAGACCCTAAATTGGGAGAAAAAAAGGGAATTATAGACTTTTTCATAGATCATTGAAATTTTATACAGCGTAATAATTAATACTTTATGTGGTTTCGACAATTTTATTGGAGAGGAATTTTCGTTTTTGGCCCCATGTTTATAGAAACTTTTCTTCTTAATTTGACCCTTAGAATACGCTCTTAAAATTTCTGACATTTTAGAAACACGTTGTACATTGTTACCACGACAGCAAATGTATCCGTAAATTATAACGTGAAATTAGATGTCGAATCGTGTGAAATTTCGCGTGCAAACAATCGATTTTCGCTATTCGGAGCGGAAATTACACGCGATCGATCTCATTGCACTGAATAAAAGAGGTAGAGAGAGAGACCCACATACACATACACACACGAGTACGCATGTACGACCATGACATTGTGCGTAAGCAGGAGACGCGATATAACGGGGTCGTGTTGCGGAAAATTAAGTCGAATCCGGAGACGCATGCGTATGCGCTGGAAAAAAAAGAGAGAGAGAGAGAGAGAAAGAGGGTGAACCGAGCGAATTTTCTCAAAAACGAGTTCCCGGTTGTAACCGCGAGAAATCAACTCCATCACGGTGTCGCAGCAGCCCTCTCTCGCATAATAGAATGTATTACGAAGCGTAATAGAATACTTGATGCCCTTAAATTCCCTTCAAACTGCGACTGAAACTTGCAATCGCGGTCTAACGACCCGCGGATCCCGCAATCATATCTTTGGGCGAAAAGTAAATAAACGAGACGCGAATAAGCTGAACGTGGATGAAATGCCGCGGAAAAGTAATATCGAAATTTTTCCGGACAGAAATAACGCGTTAACATTATTACGCGGAGAGAATTTTCTCTTTGAATTTACCGCGAAAATTCATGGTAATCGTGGGACAATATAAATATTAATAGGACAATCAAAAGTATATTAATATGCACATGGTAAAATTTATGGAACATATGTTATATCTTATATCTCGTGTGGTAGATATTAATATATCAATATAAAAATATTAATTTTACTATGTTATGTACATGTTAATATTTTTTTATTGTGGCAAATATTAATCAGAGAAACTCTTAAAATTCTTTCAATTCAATATTGTCTCACAATTATGATAAATTAAGAGAAAATTAAATAGGGATTGTTAGTTTCATCCCCTTATAATATACAGAAAGGTACAAACAATACTAATATATCCTTTTTATTAGTGGAAAATATCCAATATGGCATTAGAAGAATTTTGTAAGAGTTTCTCTGATTAATATCACAATAAAAATGTGTAGTAAATATTAATCAGAGAAATTATTAGAAAACTTTTTTATACCATATATTGTCCCACAATTTCTATAATTTTTTCAGGGTAAATTCCAAAAGAAAATTCTCTTTGTAATAAAAATATATATATGTGAGAGAAAAATAATGTAATGGTTCATATACATTTCAGTGTGACGATCTATATAGACATTTTTTTATTGTTATATTTTCTTTCTGCAGATCACAGAGGCCCTCTTATTTCTTCACGGCAACTGTAAATTTCTTCATAGAAACGTTTGCCCGACAAGCATCATCATCACGAAGAGAGGCACGTGGAAGTTATCGGGATTCGAGTTTCTCGGTGAGTCTCGTTATCCCTCGTATCAAAGATAAATTCCTTCATCAAAGTTTCGTTACTTTTTGTCAGTAATTTTCCATCAAAATAAAGAGCATATGTCGTATTGCTTTTTCCTTTAATTGTCAAATATTAAATTTGACGGAACGAGATTTGTTAAAATACAGGTTGTATATAAATAAGTGCGAAAAATTTAGGAGCAAATTTCACACAAATTAAAAAAATGAAACTTGATGGATACTTTTCACTAAAAAATAAAAAGAATATTTATTCATATTTTTTTGATCTTCCTATATCTTCATAAGGGGTTGAAACTAACAACCCCTATTTCACTTTTTTAATTTTCTTATTTTTAGAGTATATATGTTAATATAAGCAATCTCCCTTGATTTTCAACAAAAAATCATCTGCTAAAATTTTTCGCATTTATTTAAATACATCCTGCACGTAGTGGCAAATATTGACATTATCTAAAAAAAGGAGAATTTTGTGGGTATAAATTTAAAATAAATTTGAGCGCATGAATATTAAAAAAAAAGAAAGTAAATGATATCGGGCAAATTGCGATGACATCAGGCAGTTTGTTAGTTCAGAATGCGTTTTTCGTGTTGTTAGAGGCGGCCAAGGAGATACCAATAACCGTGCAATCGTGGACGAAGCACATGCCTAAAATGACTCAGCCCAATCTCGATTACATAGGTGAGCTGCCCAGAATGTCGTGTTAACATATGACGTTGACATATACGCCCCCGTTGACGTACACGTGCCGAGCGAGAGAGAGAGAGAGAGAGAGAGAGAGAGAGAGCTGTTTCCGGTTTACACATAGGAAAAGCGGCGTTTCGAGTCACTCAACTTTATACCTAGTGAAATCAATCGAGTTTGTATTTCGTTGTCGCTCAACGCGATTAAATGCATTCTCGAGCCTTCTCGCTCTCTCGAAACCCGAGTAATTGATTTTCTTCGTAAATAGAAAATGGCTCTTCTATAAATAGCAAAACCCTGAATATTGCGTCCTTATAAATAGACATTCTTTTTGCCTCTCTTAAATAAATGGAATTTAAAAGATCTTTATGCAACAGCGAGAAAGATAAAAAACGCGAAACGCGTTTAATATCAAACGCGGTTATTTGCATCCCCCTCTTTCCCTTTTCCCACCCCGATTTCACCCCTGTTTGCGCGCGCGATATCCTCGTGTGTTAGATGAAGCAATCTCGGTATTACACAATTGTATTTAACGCGATGAATGCGCGATGAAAGCAGAAATCTAATTATACAGCCGTTACAATAACGTAACGATTCGATATCGCGTTTTGTAATTCGATTGAACTGAACCCCGAGCTCTCGATGAATACATTCCTATATCGAACGTTCGTATATATTATATATGTATATGTATGGATCGGAGATATTAGGAATGACTATATATACCGAATAACGATTTAACATTTACAACATAGATCGTACGTTTTTTTTTTTTTTTTTCATGTTTGCTGTTCTATAAAATATATGGTCATCTGAAATTTTGACGATTATTTTATCTTTATATGGATAATAAAAATATATATATTATATATATGCATTTTAGATGAATATAAAAGATCAGTTATCTAAATAAAATATATAGAATAAATCGTAGGATATAAAAATATATCTAGCATTTTAGATTATGTGTTATCTTTATTAAATTATCTAGAATAGCTAATTTGTGCCTTAGAGTCATAGCACATAAAAATACTCAAGTAATAAAACTTAAGCAGTAAGCGATAAAAACTTACAAATAAAAGTATAGATTTTTATAGCCTTTTAATCATTTCAGTTTTTTGTAACGATTTTAAAAATATTATCTGGAATAAGTTACTTAGAATAAATCGCTATACAATTTTATCTTTTTTATTTATAGATATATTTAAATTCAAAATTACCTTTATCTTATCTAAAACGAATTTACATATCGTATTTTCATCTGATCTTTATCTAGATAATTTTAAAATCATCTAAGCACAACACGCGATATTGATAGACAACGATACGTAAAACGATAAAAAAATATCGTCATAATTTCTGTGGAAAATAAAAGAAAATTATCGACACGTGGATCTGGAAGCAGCAAGTCTCTAATAAATTGTGCCGAGTGAAGGACAATTTATATCATCGGACACACGATAATATTAAAGGGAAAAGGAAGGAAGATGGAGCAGTTAGAGGGGAGATTGGCCATGAAAGCAAATCGAATTCCCTGCTGGCTCCTGGCGTTTATATATATATATATACACACATATACATAAAAAGAAGAGGCGCTTGTTTGCGTATACGCGAGAGAAATGAGCTCGGCGGCATTAATAGGATCGGATTTATGCGGGAAAACTCTATTATCTCCGAAACTTCAGTGACAAACTCGACTCGCGTCGCTTTGCATCCCCCTACTTTTTGTCTGGATCGAGGCGAAAATTACTGATGGTAGCAGCTCTCTCTCTCTCTCTCTCTTCTCATTTGCAATGCTAATTTATGTTCTGTCGTCGCGACTGGACGTCATGTTCTGAAATGCAACACGTTGCAGCGCCGGAGGTGCAGCAGAAGAAGCTCGCGAGCTTTTCCAGCGACATGTACAGCCTAGGTATGACGATATGCGCGATCTACAATCAGGGCCGACCTCTGATACAGGCGAATCACAGCTGCTCGGATTATCTCAAGCAACTCGAGACCGTAAGTTAATCTCGGTCCGCCCGGAGAGACGGAAAAAAAGAATGATTCCCTTAGGAATGTCAGAAAAGAGAGGATCTCGCGGATATTCTTTGAATGCATTTAACTCTCGGGATATGGAGAGATATTTTTCCCTTCTTCGAAAGAGTCTCTATTTCGCGCGCTCTCTCTCTCTCTCTCTGATTTTTGCACAAGTAAATTTTAATCTTTAGTATACATATTTTTTTTTTCATAGCCATGAGCATCGCTTGCAAATTCTATCGCGCAGCTGCGATCGAATCATAGCTGGCTGATCTAATTGGGAAGGTTAAAAAAAGCGCGTCTATGCAATTTATTTGCTGAAATTCTCTTTGCGAGATATACACCTATTTATTTATATAAAAAAAAAGTATTGATTTTATTCTATTCCGGTAGCTTCAAATTGCGTTTGTTTTTCGTTAGAATGGCGAGACGTAGTAGTGCGTCATTCGTTGCTACGCTCTATTCGTTTGAATTCACGATTTTATTCAACATTTCAATGGTCAAAAGGGTATAGCTGCAATTTTCCAAAAAAAAAAAAATATATATTCACGATGTGAAGAATATTTCGAGAGTCCTCTCCGCTCTGTATTATCGCACAGTTAATCCTTCTGCCATCCCGTAAATTAATATGCAATAATTATGCAGAACACACACATACATACACAATATAATCCCATAATATACACACACACATTTCAATAACATTTTAAATTCATGCAATAAATTAAATTGACATTTGCTAATTGCATAAACTGAATAAATAAATTTTTAATTGAAAAAAATTATGAAATAAATAAAATCGATTGGGTTGACAATTGAATAAATAAATATTTAATTGAAAAAAAAAATGATAAAAGAAATGAAATCGATTTTTCATAATTGAATAAATCGAATAAGAGCGAACTCATAATTGAGTTATAGGATAAATTGAATTTTGACACTCGATAATTGAATAAATCAATTTATAATAAAATGATAAAATTGAAGTCTCCTAAACAAATAATTCGACGGACGTGTTATTCATTTGTGATCACGCCAATACGTCAGCTGGACGATCAAGTCGCCGTTCTTCTGCCGCTGGTGCCGATACCCTTGCGAGAAGCCTGCACGCGACTCCTGCACAAGGATCCGGAGCAGAGGCCAACCGCGCAAATATTGACCATGATCAAGTTCTTTCGGGACCCGTTCGTGCACGCCCTGCAATTTCTCGATGTCAGCAAAATGAAGGACGTGTCGCAGAAGGAGCACTTTTACACGACGACTCTGAGGGAACTCCTGCCGTACATGCCGAAGGTATAGAGACGTTTTAATTATTCAGGGCGGGAGCTTTCGACTGGGGGATGAAAACTCTCGGGAAACGGATATCCACATAATCTAGAAGTAATTGTCTAATGCACTTTCGATCGAAGACGAAGCGCCCTTTTACGTTCTCCCGCGATTCCCCAGATGACGATGTTATACGTTTTTCCTTCCGCCGTAGAATTTCCATTAGGAATACGATGTTGTTCCGTTGTACGTTTTCATCCTCGGGAAGTCGAGAAAATACACCGAGGAATATTCGTATTGTAAATTTGACGAGAAAGAGAAGAGAGTCCCTGACCCTAATCACGCACGTGTGTCACGCACAACATTTTCCGCAGAAACTCTGGTATCAGCACATCTGGACGTATCTTCACGCGGAGTTGCAGACGCAGGAAGTGCTGTCGGCCGTGTTGCAGCCTATGCTCTACATCGTTCAGAACTGCACCAAGGAGGAGTACCAGCAAATTGTGTTTCCCACGCTCAAGTACGTAGAAACGTGCAAGCGGAAGTGACGACGGAAATGAGCAGGAGACCGCGCGAGATAGGCTTCCATCTTTTTCTCTCTCTCTCTTTCTCTCTCTCTCTCTCTTCGCAGACCGCTCTTCACCAATCGGAAGTCGATTCAGGGAACCGTCACCCTGCTGGAAAACCTGCACGTCATCCTGGAGAAGACGCCCCAGGAGCACGAGCGCGAGGTCCTTTCCATGCTGTACATGTCCTTCGAGAACTCGACCATTCAAGTACGGGTAAGTGAAACGATCAATTTCAGGACGAGAGAGAAAGGAAACATCGGTTTGAACACTGTCGAGCCTGAACGCGACGAAAGAAATTTAGAGACAATTTTTTTTGAGCAAAAATATCGAGGAACGTCATTATTTTTTACATGTTCCCAATTTTTGCCATTATGTATTTTTTGTAACTAACAAGGAAAGAGACTCTGAAATTTTGTGTACAAACAGAACAGTTTATCCGTAACACAAAACTATTTTCGTTCGTGCTGAATTACGATCTGAGGGGTTTTTTTAAATTTTGAAAAAATAATTTTGACAAACAATATTTGAAAAAGATTTTTTTCAAAATTTTATTAACGTAGTTGAATAGAGGTGCCTTCATTATAAAACTTTTGTCTGAAACATTTTTTGATATCTTAAATAATTTTATTGAGAAAAATAGAAAGTCTACTAATGAGGGGTAGTTTCACCTCTTCAGACCGTAATTTAGCACGAACAAAAAATTTTGTGTTACAAATGAACTACTCTACTTGTACACTAAGTTTCAGAATTTTTTGAATTTCCGAGTTCTTTCTTTGTAAGCTTTAAATGATAATTTTAAAAGTAAACTCTACTTGAAATTAACTAAAGAATGTGATTTTGTTAATATTTTTGTTTCCACAAGACTTGATTTGCGAAAAACCCTTTATTTTCAATCATTTGAAAATTATTGATGCCTCGATATTTTCACTAATTGTGACAATAAAATTCGTCTCTAAATGACGTCAGGAATCTACTGTAAATCAATGATTCACTAAGTACAGACACCCTTCCCCTATCCTCCTTTCCTCAAAAAGGCATGTTAACTAAGTGAATTTAATTTTAATCGAAGTATTAAAGCCTCTTTTCTGCGATGCTAGTTGGTTGTCTCGAAGTTTGCGGTTTGAATCACAATCAAATCGTTTGATAGTTTTACAGTTTGTAGTTAAACTTAAAATTATTTTAATTTGCCGAGTTCCTATTAGCACATAATTTTATGTTTTGTCATCGAATTTTTATTATGTGTATAATTTTAATTAACCGAATTATTAATTAGTGCATAATTTTAATTTGCTAATTTTCTATTATACATATAATTTTATTACATTTTTTTATAATTTTTTTTTCCTAATATTAGTGTTATTTTTCCTCGGGTTAGTCTTATTTTTGCTCAAGTTAGTTTTATTTTTTCTAATATTAGTTAATTGAAAAAAGAGAAGTCACTCCAGTATTTCCCTCCCCAAAAATAAAAAAAATTTTTAGTGTTATGCATTTAAGCATTTAAATAATTGTAAAGATTTTTTTACCTAATATTATTTAGCTTAATTATATTTATTCAAAAATATTATTATACAATATCGTATTCAACTTATTGATTGTTCGGAAAATAATGAACAAAATTAATTTGTTGTTAGCTAAAATTAATCAAACTTTTTATCATTTATTATAAAATAAGCATTAAATTTGTAAATTAATTTATTTCTATATTCAGTTAAAATTACTTTTTTACTTTATTAAGATTTTCTTAAATTTATTATTAACAAAATAATTACTTTTCTAGCATTATAGTAATATATATATATATATATATATAATTTAATAATTTTATTTTTAATATGTCAAAAACTTTTTTTATATTTCTAAATTACACATATGGGAACGCAATATAATTTTTTATTATATTTCTAAAAATAACAATCAATCATTATTTTCCGAACAATGTAACATAACAAAAAATAAACTCACATTGCGTTGCGTCGATCATGTAAACCTCTCTGCTTTAATATATTCGCTTTAATGTTCCACTGCTGCTCTGCTATAATCCCATATAGTTTGGCACATACACTGATCACTGCACTGTTTTTTCTATTATTTATATTTGCAATAATTATTTATCGCACTTCACTACACACAGATGCACTTTGAAATAAACGACGATACGAAAAAAAATAAGATCACTCGCGAATGCATTCGGCACTTTCGATCCCGCTCGATCACGTTCGATATCGCGTTCGCGAATAAAAAGTCGAACAAAATATCCGTTGAAAAAATATACTTTTCCGATTTCGGAAAAACGAGCATCCGAATATTAATCACATTAAACGCATCGAAATACCTTTAAATTAATTCGTGACATCCATAGAAGTCTATAGTGACATCTACCGGCACGCCGCGAAGCGAACGAAGTGTCATGGCGGAGCGACACTGGCATGCCACTGACCGTTACGCGAAGTCTCAAAAGCTGAGTATCTCAAGCAATGGTGCTCCTCTCCCATAATTTGAAACGACGGTTTCGATAAATTCGCGCTTCTCGGACACTTTTCGATATCTCAAGCAATAAGTCCCTCCTCCCCTTTCCCTCCCCAAGCTTGCTGATTCCGCGAATTCGCGACGCTCCGAGACTCCCGGGGCCCGCCGACGCCCGGATGCTCTTCGAGAAGATTATTCGGTCCATCGCGTCGAAACACGACACTCCTGGACTTGCACTCGCGTTTATTCGCGTTACTCGCGCACGAAATCTAGACCAGACGCGGAGCACTCGCGACGCACATCCTGCTCCTTCACCGCTGGACTGGCAACTGATCGGTGGCGGCGCTGGCTGAAGCACGTCACGCTGTGACGTCACGTCAGTATCGGCCGATTTCATGTATTACTCCGCGCGGGAGTTTTCGTAAATAGTAAATTATAATCAGTAGTGTATGTACATAATTTTAATTCACTGAATTTTATTATGTACATAATACATAAATACTAATTTCTATTATATTATGTACATAATAGAAATGTAGTGATTTAAAATTAAAAATTATAAATATATAATAGAAATTCAAGAATACCAATTATGTATATAACAGAAATTTGGCAAATAAAAATTTAAAACATAATGGACATACAAGAATTAAAATTATGTGCACAATGAAAATTCAAAAATAAATTATGTATACAATAAAATTATGTACATAATAAAAATCAGCGACTTAAAATTATTTACATAAAAGAAGTACGGCAAATTAAAATTACGCGCATAATAGAAATTCAGCAAATTAAAATTATATATGTATATATAATAAAAAATTAAAAATTAAAATTGTGTGCATAATTGAAATTCGGCGAATTAAAATTATGTACACTTGCTGATTATATTATTTACTATTTACGCGTAGAAAACTCCCGCGCGTAGTAATACATGAAATCGGCCGATACTGACGTGACGTCACGACTGCGAATTACTTCAGCCAGCGACGCCAGCGCCACCACCGATCAGTGCGAATCCAGCTGTAGATAAGACAGGTGTGTGTCGCGTCTCGTCGAGGAGTTCCGCGAGTGCTCCAGCATCTTCTGGAGTGTCCGAGTATCTCAGAAAGTGTTCGAGAATGCGCGAATTCATCGAAACCGTCGTTTCAAATTATGGGAGAGGAGCACCATTGCTTGAGATACTCAGCTGTTGGGACTATGCGCGTAACAATCGTTGGCGCGCAAGTGTCACTCCGCCATGACACTTTCTGTTTACTTCGCGTCCTTTGCGATGTCACGGAAAGACGCGGCGCGCCGGCACCACATATACTTCTATGGATGTCACGAATTAATTTAAAGGTATTTCGATGCGTTTAATGTGATTAATATTAGGACGCTCGTTTTCCCGGAATCCGAAAAGTATATTTTTCAACGAATATTTTGTTCGACTTTTTATTCGCGAAGGCGATATCGAACGTGATCGAGCGGGATCGAAAGTGCCGAATGCATTCGCGAGTGATCTTATTTTTTTTCGTATCGTCGTTTATTTCAAAGTGCATCTGTGTGTAGTGAAGTGCGATAAATAATTATTGCAAATATAAAATAATAGAAAAAACAGTGCAGTGATCAGTATGTGCCAAACCATATGAGATTGTAGCAGAGCAGCAGTGGAACATTAAAGCGGATATATTAAAGCAGAGAGGTTTAGATAATCGACGCAACGCAATGTGAGTTTATTTTTGGTTATGTTACATTGTTGGAAAAATAATGATTGTTATTTTTCAGAAAATAATAAAAAATTATATTGCGTTCCCATATTTGTAATTTAGAATTTATATTATAATTATATATAAAAATTTTAAATCGTTAATTCAGCTGATTTTTGCGGAACTACCTAAGAAATTGCTGTTCTTCTAAGAAAGTAGAGTTCTGATATTAATGATATTTTTGATTTGTTCGTCGATTAGATGGCCGCGTTTGTGGCCGTATCGCACGTGACGAGCTACCTCGAGGACGACGCCATACGTAATGTGGTGCTGCCGAAGCTGCTGGACGCCTTCGAGAACAACTCGGCGGACGCGCGAGTACTGATGGACGTAGTGCCGTGCATCCTGAGCCGTCTCGAGAAGCAGAAGATCATCGACTGCATCCTACCGCTGCTCTGTAAAGTCAAGCTGCAAGAGCCCGAGATCGTCGTGCGGGTTGTAAGTAAGTGAAGTAAAGAGCGAGCATCTTTTACACACTTACCTTTTTATATACACAGTTGAAAAAATTCTGGTAAAAACAGAGATAAGTATCACATGTCCCAAACGGTTTATAGAAAAATTTTTGTGTTTATTTTACCCAATATAGATATGTTAGATGGAGACAAATACTGTGTATTTTAACACAAAATAAATGCAAGACTTTAAATAATTTAAAATAAATTTTGTGTAAAATTAACATAGTTTTAATGTAAAAATTAACTAAAAATATGTTAATTGTAGATTTTATCATTCCCATTTATATTATAAAATAAAAAATTAACATTTTTTTCTGCAAATTTTAACAGATAAATTTTGTCTTTAATAAAACAGAACATATTTAATGTGTAAAATTGAAAATAGACGCACATTATGTTATATTTTTACATTTTCTTTCAGTTTTAATAATTTAACATTTAAGTTCAAGTAACACAATAGCAATATGTTAAATTAACACATGAATGTATCAAATATTTAACACAAAAATTTTAACGGGAACCGTTTTTAACAAGAAAACACAAATTTTTCTACTCGCGTGTCTTATGTCGTTAAATTTTTTCTATACATAAAAGAAGAGATATAAAGAAGATTAAAAAATAATATAAATCTCTCTTTTGTTCATTTGGAATTCAAAGTGCTAAAAAAATGAATCAAAGTTTCATTTTATAATTATATTTTTCGAGACAAGCGCAATTATTTTGATCATATGATGTTCGGGCAAATGTACAATATTTCAATAAAATCCCAGGACTTTCAGATCAAATGCCTGTTAGTAAGGAAAAAGAAGACCAGAGACCATTTTAATCCGTAATGAAGTAAGGAAAGAGATTCTGTTCTCGAAACAACGTCTAAAAGAAAAAGAAAAAACGAAGACTAAAGGAAGGGAAAATAAAGAAATAAATGATTTGTGCTCCAAAGAGACGGAGATATTCTCGTTTTAAGGAGAGGAAAGACGATATATATATATATTTTTTTTTTTATACATATAATACGAATGATATACAAACAATCCTAAGGCTAATCTGTCTCGTTCGTTTGCAGATATTTACAGGCTGATGCTCACCGATAAAAAATACGGCTTGTCTGTCAACTGGATGGCGGCTCATGCGATGCCATCTTTGCTGCCACAAACCGTCAACCCGGCTCTGAATCTCGAGCAATTCATCTTGCTCCTCGAGGTGCTGCAGGACATGTTGAATAACATCGAGAGGCAAGTGCAATTAAGACACTTATTGTTAGAAACGAACTGTGTAATTAAAAGCATCGGTTAAACGGGTCTCTCTTTCTCTAATAATTATTCGCGAGAATAAAGCGAGCGATATGTAAAACGCGGCCACGTTTAACGACGCGTGTGAAATAATTTTGCAGAATTTTTCACTCGTAAAATGAATTCGTCATTCATTACACATTTTAGTAATTATGTGTGAATAATGATATTTAAAGAAAACGAGAAAAAGCCGGACCGATATTTTATTTCGCGGAAACACGGATGTTCCGCCGAAACGAAGATCCCATTTATATACGGCAGACTTAACTCGATTACGGAAATTGCCTAATATAATTAATAAATATGGCGGCTATCAATTAATTAATATCGCGCATCTGTCGATATATACATCCGTATAATGCATCCATAGAATTTATATCGAGTATATAAATCGAGAAACTGAAGCTCTCTTTTCCTCTCGTTTCTGTCATTGTAGAAATCAAAGGAACAAATTGACGCTTGACAATCTATCACTACCGAGTCCGGACAAGTATCGATCCCTGCGACATCAGTACAGCACCGATAACATGCACGTGCCGACATTCAACATTCCGAATTTGCGCATCGAGCAACGCAAGACCTCATCGGCCGAGGATATGGCCAGGAAGAACAGTATCGGTATCGGCGAATATTTAATTAAATATCCGCAGATATGTCAAACATCTCTTCCAACTTTTTTTTTACGTGCGAATCTACCCAAGTAGCAAACTGATTATACTAAACGTTAGACGTTAAAATGACGTCATTTTAACGCCTAATAATTATTCGACGTCAAAATGACGTCATTTTGACGTTTAATGACGTCAGTTTGCTACTTTGGTAAACTTCAACGAAATCTCTTTTAAAGCTTTCACAATCTTTAATTTTTTCCGATTTATTTCCTTGATTTCTGAATCTATTCAAGTAGCCTAATAATATCACTCGACGTCAAAATGACGTCGCAGGATGAATTGGAAACGAAATTTCTTTTAAAGCTTTCACACAGTCTTTAATTTTTTTTCGATTTTTTCCTTCTCGAGTCACTCATGATAGTTGGAAGAATGTCCTCTCTTTTCATTTTAGGACACCTTTTTCATAGTGAAATATCGGCCCCGAAATAAGGTTCTCATGAATATTAATTAAATTATAAACGATGGTTTATAAATATAAAACCGCCGTCTCTTAGCGAGACGGGATCGGAGAAGCAGACAGGATAGGGAGAACACGGGTCCATTAACTTTATCTAATATTTATGATAACGGTTCCTCCGAGGAACCCACGGTCAAGATACTAAAACAGCATTTCTCCGTACGCAGGTTCCTTATCGACGGCGTCCGCGGAAAATATGGCACGGAAAAATTCGATGGCTGGTAAGTAAAAATGTGGCAGTTTTCTCTCTCTTCTTCTCTTAATATGAAATATTAAGAGGCCAATCCTTTCGGACGGAGGAAAGGGAAATTAAATCCCTTCCTTCGGGAAGGAAACACGCAAAGAACGAGATCGATCTAACCGAATCGGAATGGTTGTTTAGCGATGTTTGGCGGATGGTTCACCTCATCGTCGCCCAACGACAACAATTTCCTGCGTGTGGCCAACACGTTCACGAGCAGACGCCTGTCGGATAACACTTTGATGACGCCGAAGATAAGGATAGCGCCGTCCTGCGCCAGTTCGCCAGGTGGGACACCCGGAAGTGGTTTACCGATTCGTCGACACTCCAGCACCGGACCCCAGGAACGACGTGGATCCAATATTAATTTATCCCCGCCTACGGTATATACATCTATTTCTTATATGTACACATATACAGACGTATACGAATTATTAGATTCACATTTTTATGTTGAAATTACTCTTTGCGTTTTTTTTTCAATAGTTTTATATTTAATAGTTTCATATTATTTTTTTTATAAAAGATTGAAGATTTCTTCATGATATTTTGATCTGAATATTATTCGTAAACATCTATTTTAGTGATAGAAATCCATATTTGCATTAGTAAACGGAGTCACTGCACTCTTGATGTTTGTGTCACATTATATCTGATATTGATTAGTTTTATGGAATTATTTTTGTACAAACCTGAATAATTAGGTGCACTGTGAATAATAATTTATAATTAACTTAATTTGATTCTAATACACTGAATACGTCTGTATATGTATAAATATATATGCATGTGTATCTCTTTCACCGCGCCTACTTTAATTCTCGTTGGAAATGTATCTTTGACACGCGACACGCAATGACGAAACATAATAAAAGGGTGTAGTAGATACGGAAAGTATAAAAAAATAATACAGCAAGTAAAATATTTATGAGAATTGTTGAATTTTCGGAGATCGCGAACGACGATACTCTCCTGAGATGAATCATGCGAGATTGACATTCCCATCTCGATTTCGAGACTCAAAAGTATTCGATGACTCTCCCGGAATTTATCTAGCGTTTTAACCAGATGAAACACGAGAAGTTTAAAACTAACGTGACCTAGTGACATTTTTGCATGCGCTTTGGAACAATCGGAAAACTACCTGTCGCCTATAAAAGCGAATACCTCTATTGATCATACGACACGGCGTTAAGCAGAAATAAATCAGCAGTCGTTAATTGATCGCGCGGTGTATACGTATTATTAAGTCGAGAATCGCACAAAATTGCATAATTTCAAGAAAAGGTACCATTTCATGTGCAGAATGCTGCCGCAGCAGTTTGTTACCGTTGATGAAGTTCAGTTGAACGAACAGCAAAGGCAGCAAAGCAGAAAAACACGCAATTAGTTGATTCTAATTATTATTATTATATTAGTTAAATAATGAATTTTAAGAATAAAATAGATTATTATGAGAATATATAAAAACCTTGAAATAATAAGAGAACAAAGAAATATGCTGTAATAAATTTTCATCACTGATTTGCTGCTGCAGTATAAAAAGACACCTAAAAAGTTGGAGGAAAAAATCCTGCTTTATTTTATATACGAATAAGTCTATGTATTAAGTTAATCGAATCTGTTGACAGGGAGGTGGGATGCCGATCACGAGTAGCAGCGTGCCCTATCTGCTCAGTACGAGCCTAAACAGTATTCGCGGCTCGAGAAGGCCGTCCGTATCCTCGACGTCGTCGCAGCAGGGAATCGGGCTACTGCAGCAGGTTGGCTCCAGCATGGTAAGACAACTACCCCCATCTGCCTGAACCTGAATGGACCACCACCACCACCAACACTCTCTCCATCACTCCAGCTACCGGGACAACATTCCCACTGACCCTCCGTTACAGTGTAAGGATATTCGCTAAGACTTTGCTTCGTGCTTGCCGCTTTCTCTCTCTCTCTCTCTCTCTCTTCTCTCTTTCTCTATCTCTTTCTTCTCTCTCCGTCTGATCACTCCCACATGCACCTCTTCTCCTTAGAGATTAGATTCTTGATTAAGGCTCCTGGCTCCTCGCCGATCGTGTTGGAATTGTGACGTCAGAGGCGAGAAAATGCACGCTGAAAATTCCTTGCGTACCATTTTTAAATAAAAAGATTCTTTGATGAAACACAATTTCAGATGGCTTTCAAAATAGTGTGAAAATTATTTTTCCCTTGACAATCAACAACCGTAAAATAATTGTGATATCAGATTTTGTTATTTTACAGCTGTTGATTGATTAAAGAGAAAAGGATAATTTCAGATTATTTTAAAAGTGTGCCAAAGCTATCTGAAGTAATTTTTCATCAAAATATAAAGAATTTTTTGTGTAGCTTTCTCGCCTTTGACGTCACAATCTAACATGGCCGCGACGAGGATCCAGGAGCCTTAATTGGGAGAAACCGTCGCGCGATATCGAAATGTTGATCAAAGCAATTTCCTGTTCGCGATTGATGATAATTCAAACGCGATAATTTCGGGAAGAATATATATATCAAAGTTTTAACTATACGCGTATTTTCTCATTTAAATATATATTTTCATATAAAAATTGTATCGTAATCGTACAATTTAAGAATTTAATATTTTTTGCGTTCTCTTTTTCTTTCTTTCTCTCTCTTTCTCTAAAAAAATGGTAATTTCCTCGGACATCGAGTCAATAGTCGATTCAATTTCTCAGGACAAGATAAGAATATTACTTTGCGTTAAAAAAAAAAAAAATAACGGAAGGAATATTATAGATCCAGAGAGAGATTTTAATTGAATAAGTTTAGACAATTTTTTCAAGAGAGAGCGCTTATGTATCCTGCGAGTTCAAGGACATTCTTTCAACGGGATCGATCATTAACGCGGTTCCTCTTTACTCTCGCGACGTGTCTCGCGCCGCGCATTGTACGAGAAACGGCGAAGCCGTAAAGGGACGTCCTCCCTTTTTTTTTCTCTCTGTTGCAGTACCAATTCTTCAATAGACAGCCCGAAGCGTGAAGTGCCAACGATCGTCGCTGAACAAAGATCGGACAAGATCGCGGTGGTTGTGGAGTCTCTGACTAGCGCGCATCGATTCGCTCGCACGCTCGGTCAATCGTAAGGAGCCTGCGAAGGACTCGAGGAAGGATCCTCTCTCGGGAGGACGTCTCAACGACTTCTTCGATTCTTCTTCTAATTAAATAAAAGGAGCCTCGCGGGTGCGTATAGACGCGAATTTGCCCAGATTGCGAGTCAGCGAAATCGTAGATGTAAGAAAAAAAGAAGAAGGAATTGCAGGTTTGTATAGGTGCAAACTTCGGCGGCCAAGATCGCGAATCGGCCGCAAATTAATTCGGAGGGAGAGAGAGATCCTTCTTGAATCTCTCCCTCTCGCCGGGTTAATATTCACACCGCATATATTATCTCTGTCGCGACGTAGTGGCGACGGAGGATTCAGGGATATGCGGTTCTGGGAGACATGTATAACGAGCAATGGACGTATGGGGGTGTATCAGAAGTCGCCAACTCCGAAAATCAGTCCCTCCTGATGTTAATTCTCCATGTCGAATAATCGGGCAATATTAACATTTTGTCTGCAAATTTCTGTGTTTCCAGTTTCGTATAAATGAAGCACTTATATTTAAAAAACATACAAAAAGATATATGTCAATGACGAAATATTTCTATACTATCTCGAATTTTTAATTATCACAATTATATCAATAATAAGTATAATAAAAAGATGCAAGAAAACATCTCCGTTTTGAATAAAAAACTTTGAAAACACTTGATGATAAAGTGTTAATATACGTATATGTTGATATTTCAATATTCTACATGTGTATATATATATATACACAATATAACGTAATTAACGGTAAATAATGAAATTAATTATAAATATTAACTATTAATTATTGCATATATTTCTTGATTATTTTATATCTATTATGATATAATAATTTTATAATAAATTCATATTTAAGAATTAAATTCTCTCTTCGCGCAACTTAAAGAGCTCATAATATACCGTCCGATTCTGAACTTCATTTATCTGGGTCAAACGTCAATAATCGACTCCATAAAGTGGCGGGTGACATAAGATAAGTTCGAGACGAACATGGAACCGTGAGCTAAAAACGTCACGGATCCATACTTCGTATCTGCAAGTAAAGATCGGAGATGTAAATCGCGACTTCTGAAACAGCCTGCATATCGACAGGAGATATTTCCTATAGAAATACATAAATGCATACGTAATGCACGCAAGACTAAAAAAAGCAAAAAAGAAAAGAAAGGAAAAAGTATAATATATATACATATATATAATATATCTCTCTATCTTAGCCACGTACGGAGAGACAAAAAAGAATAAATATTTTTCTCGTCGATATATATTTGTCTATGTAATAAAATCTATAAAAGTATCGTGGAATAACGACGTGCGAGCAAATTTTTAGCCGCACGTCGCAGTCGTCAATTGTTGCACTACACAATCACTAAATCTTAAGATTTAGCTTTTATAACTCAGGCGTAATCGGGTAAAAAGAGAAAAACACACTTTAGACGATCTGTGATTCGCGGCGGAAAATTCGCGGCAGATTAATTCTATTTATTATTTTACGTGCCGCGTGTAATAACCAGAGGAAATAACATTTGGAAAAAATAATATATATATACGTGCATATATCGTACGATATGCGGTACACATTGTGAAATTGTAAATAGATTTTTATCTCGAATTTTTATCGTAAATTATAGATCGTCTGAACGGTTTCACGCACGCACGCACATATATACGCAATCGGGTTTTTCACGACCATCATCTGTGGTCTCCTCATATAAATATATTTTAATATAAGTTTAATGTAAGTTTAACTTTTCTTTTAATTTATATATTAAGTTTTTTAATTTATAAATACATATATGTATATAAAAAATATATGTATGTATGTATGTACATAGAGAATTTTTTTTAATTTATCCTGAAAATTATAGTAATCGTGGGATATATGATATTGGAAGAATTTTATGAGTTTTTCTGATTAATATTTATCACAATAAACAATATTAATATCTATCACAATAAGATATAAAAATATGTTCGATTAATTTTACTATATACATAGTAAAATTTAACACATATATAATTATATTAATATTTTTATTGTGGTAAATATAATATGTATTAATCAGAGAAACTCTTATATAATTCTTCCAATACCGTATTGTTCCAGGATTACCATAATTTTCAAAGTAAATCCTAATAGAAAATTCTTTCCGTGTATATATATATATGTATAAATTAAGAGACTATTATTTGTGATAAATAATAATTGTTTAATATATTTTATTTATCCATTTGTGTATATGCAATTTTTCAAGCATGAGAAATGTATCATTTCTATTGAAAAAATTATTTCTCGTTACTATTTAATTACACATGCGCGAAGGAATAAATAAATAAAAGATATTTCACATTTTTATTTCTCTTCAAATTTAAGTTCTTTCGACATAAAATATTTTATATATTCTCAAATATTCTAATAACTTAAATATCTCGATTCGACAAGCGAAACTTCATATATATCTAATTAATCATACAAATTAATGGTTACAATCTTTCGTCGTGTCAAAATTTTATTTGATCTATCAAGTGCTTTTTCGCCCGCGCAGTCACGTGGGGAAAATCTAAAATCGCAGTTTCCGATGATTGTGTGCATGCGTGCGTTGAAGGATTTTAGTAGCAATAAGATTTTAAAAACTTTTCCGCGTAAGTTTCGTTTATTATCCTCGATGTGACTTTTCCGATCACTTCTACGCACACAAACACACACACAAAACCCTTTTTCTGTCTTCCTTTTTTGTCTAGTCTCACTAATTCAATATTAAATCTATCAGTCACGACCAGTACACTAATATTGGATTTCACTAATATTATACGTTGAAAAAAAAAAATATATATTTCGTTGGACAGCTTTGTCTGGTACCAACGCGTCACGAGATATACTTATGTAAGGATAAGTATAATATACGTGTCCAAAGAGAGTGTGTAGCTAATGATAAGTGTGCATTCGCGCGCGACCGGTCACGTCGTCTAATTATAATAAGATACGAACTGATCGCGGAACGAGTTAATACGAACTTCGGTGAACTCGCGTATTAATTAAGGATCGCAAGGACTCCTTTTGCCTTTCGAAAATTGCGAAATAAATATATACACAGAATTCATCACATATCAGTAAAAAGAATTAAGCATTTGCTCTCCTTGTGAATAAACACTGGAATTTATTTGCAATTTTATTTAATTTAATAATTGTAAACAACGAAGGGCTATAAGAGCTATTAAACGTAATACAGTTGACAGTTGATATTAATAAATTTTATTAATATCAACTGTCAACTGTATTGCGTTCAATAGCTCTTATAGCCCTTCTTTGTTTACAATTATTAAGTTTAACAGAGCTAATTATACTATTTTTATTTTATTTAATTGATATAAAAATATTAAAATTACGAAATAATGAAAAAAAAATTGAATTTTAAAAAAATTAAGAAAGAATAATAAGAAACAAATGAAATTTCAATCATGCCACTCCCTGGAAAAAATCCGAGAATTTGATACGATTTGACACGATTTTCGACATTCCGTCGAATTGAAAATGTGCGAATATAATCTCGATTTTTAACGGTGGTGATTTAAAGCGCGAAACGAGAAGTCGAGTGATTTCCTCGCATTAAGAATAGACATTCAGAACGTTTCAAATGTCAAAAGTGAAATCATCGAGTCAAATTTATTGTTCCTAAAGCAGTTTTTATTTTTAAATAATTGTTTATTAGAACATTAATCATACATTTTAATGGATATAAATTCCTCTTTTCTCTCTCTTTCTAATCGCAATTACCTTTATATATATTTTGCATATGCGAAATATATATTTCGCACAATTTAATTAATGTTTTGTCGGCTAATGAAATTTAAACGTTATAAACTTGGGTTAATTTGACCTGACTGTATGTTCACGTATACATGCATAAAGGAAAAGACAGCACATTCAAAATATATAAATGCAGAAATTACGCGCACGTATATACATTAATATTGAAAGAGAGAAAAGAAGTGAAGAATAGGGAAGAAAAGATAATTAGACAATTTATTTTCCATATTATTAACGTCGTCGGAATGTCGTGGAATTTGTTTTCTAAAACAATTTATTTTGAACAAATGTGCGTTAATCATAAATTTAAATCGAGATACAAATTTTTCTAGAAAATAAAGAAATTCTTTCAATATCTTTTTCTCATTTTGATCATAATTACTGCAATCATAATCATGTACTGCCGTCGCCAATTCAGTAATACTAATCAGTTTCAGTATTCAGTAATAATACTCGACCTTCGTTGGTCGATAAAAGAAGCTCTCCAGCAATTAGCGTTGCACAATGTTCATTACAAGCCATTTTATATATTTATAAAGCGTGTCTAGTTAATAATAAATATTAATTTCAGCACTTTTGTCGTCTAATCAAAACTACACGTTATGAACTTCGGTTAATTAGATCTGAGCACTGTTTGTGCACATAGAGAGAAAACTTTAGTGTTCAAAATAAATAAATAGAGATTATATACATAGATTTTGAAAAAGAGAAATAAATTTTATACATAATTATTTTGCGATCCGTTGAATCTCGGAATATTTCGCGGAATTTACTTTCTAAAGCAATCCATTTAAATACTTGTTCATTGAAATGTATAAAAATCTGTCTCGATTTCTGCCTCTTCGCTCTCTTCCTCCTTTCTGATCGTAATGATCTACTTCTTCCAAAAGAAATATCTGCAGCTTCTTCGATATTATAATCGCGAATGGGGCATTTTCCATACGAAAAATATACAAAATGTATGAAGCCAATAATAAATACTGGCGCTACTAATTATGTCGCGTAATAAAAAAATACTAAATATTATAAATTTTAATAAATTCGATTTTTAACTATCTGTTTCTATGTATGTGCCTGCACATATAAAGAAGGAAAATTTTACAGCACATCTAAAATAAACAGAAATCATACGCGTATTATGTATAAACATCGAGAAAGTGAGAGAGAAACAAAGGGGAAAACAAATTCATTTTTCACGTTATTGAACGTGGGAATTTCGCAGAATTTACGTTTATAAAACAATCCATTTTAAACTATTGTTTATTGGAGCGTGAATCGCGAATTTAAATGAAAAATAAATAAAATCTCTTTAAGATAAAAATTCTTTCTCTCTCTATCTCTTTGGATTGTAATTAAAATATCAAAGAGGATATAACATGATAAAGCTATAATGAACATAGTAGACAAGCAGATGAAAAAACCCATTCTATAAAAAAGTAGATAAAAAAGTCTATATAGCCAATAATAAATTTGCACTCGCATGACTATAATTATGCCGTGCAATAAATATTAAATGTTATGAACTTCAGAATCAATTTAAATGGATAAAAATCTCTTTTAGAGAAAGAGGGAGAGTGGATTTATTTTTCAAATTATTAAACGTCGGAATGTAGAATGCAGACGTATATTAATTGGAAAAATAAGATACTTTTTTGGGGGATAAATTCGAAAATCGGATTATATTCGTACAGGATTTTACGTGTCAAATATTTTCTATCCTCTAATCCAACCAGAGAAACGTAATTTTCATTCTTCATTATATATGTAATACATAATCGAAGGCAAAATGGAGGAAAAAAATCGTAAAAAAAAAAAAAAAAAAATCGCCGAAGTTACAATCGATCTCGTTTCGTCACCCAATTCCAAAGAATCTCGTTCGTGTGTGGTTAAATATTATTCTAACTAATGGCGTAAGAGATTATACAAAGTTAAGTGTCCTTAACGTTAAGCACACCCCGGTACACATTTGGAGAAAGTAAAGATAAAAATGTCGGGAGAGACAAAATCGAGGCTCGCAAATCGCGAAGACTCGTTCTTTCGCTCTTCTATATTCCCTCTCCTATGCTTGAAAAAAAAAAATGAAGAAAAAAGGAACAGACGGGCAAAGATAAAGAATAGAAGGGATATATCGAAGTGTGATTATTCTCTACGAACTACGGACAATCACGGACAATCATTTACACGTATCAAGGTATATCGAGATAGATGTATGCGATACGCACGACATGTTATTTCCTTTAAGTAGAGACGAGAAACCACTCTCGCGGCTTTTATCGTCAGTAAAATGTAGCGATTATATATATCGAAACTCTGATCGATTACGAGCGACGAATTATGTCTGTACAATCGCCTGGACCAAGTATGAGCGACAAAATATACTATTTTCTCATCACTATATTTTCACACGCACACAAAGATGTCACAGGTTTGTCATTTCAAATTAAATAGGTGTAAAAAAATAAGAAATGCAGAAAATTCGTGCGATATATCCCGGGAAAAAATATTTTATATATAACAATATAAAATTATATATAAAATATGTCCATACATAATTAAATAAAAGTGTTTTTTTATATATAATTTATATAAATTATATTTTATATAAATATATATGTTTCATATATTATTCGACATGATTATATATGAACCCTTATAATTTATATAATTATGTATAAAAATAGACATATATATTTCACATATAATTTTACGATTATATGTATGTAATTATACAATTATTTATATATAATTATATATAAGAAATTGTTTCCCGAGATAATTAAAAAAATATCTTTCCAACTATATATATGAATCCTCGACGACTATGATTGTCCGCAGAGATTTTCTTCGTTCTTCTCGAAACTTTGATTAATCGAGAAATCCAGAGAGGAGAAGTTATACTCGATACGTACATATGTATATTAAGAGAGATATATATACTCTGTATGCGCTGTCAGTTTGTCGATTTAATTCGATATATTGCTCACTCGTCTTGCTCTCGTATTGCTGAAAATACAACGTTTGCGATTGTAATATCCAGTAGTCGGTCAACATTGTGCCCCAGGCGACATACAATCAAATTAATACACATTCCGATGTTGATCGACGTTCATAGCTCGCGCGTGCATCGAGGAGAGAAAGAGAGAGACACAGAGACGGTCTTCTATATATATACATATATGTATACTATCGATTTTTACGAGTATCAACGCGCACAAACTGTCCCGTACTAGTCAGGGACGCGTTTAGGCGTCATTTTATTCGATTAAGTTAACTGTTTTATATCTATAGTCTATGAAAGTGCCCGAGTAGCAAACTGACGTCATTAAACGTCAATATGACGTCATTTTGATGTCTAATGACGTCACTAGACGTCAAAATGACGTATGCTCGCTACTTGGGTGACACTCTCTCAAGATAAATATTACTGGAATTTTTGCACAATCGGAAGATATTATTTCAGGGCCCCAAACGATTTTTGTCGAGGGACTCGAACCATTAATTCCGTAAAGGCCTAAAGGCGTCGGGATGATATAATTGTAGTTTTTTTTTTTTACTTTTGCACACTTTCCCTTAGATATCTCCTACGTGCACGAGTCAAATACGATCTTTATTCAGGGATTTTTTGGGATAATTTTACTTCTGTCGTGATATACACTTCTCATCTGTCATATCGATCTGTCTTATCGTATTAAAAGTCAAAAGATTCTCTTTTTATATTTTATCGACTTAATCACGTTAACACGAGACGGTGATTAATTAATATTAATTAATACGTATCGATTAATTAATTAATTAATTACGTATCGATCGAATCAATAATTGAAGAAACGTACTAAATGCAAATTTTTAAGACATCGTTCTTAAATCAATTTTCACTCTTCTCGTTCACTTGTCGTATTCTTGTATTTATCTATCTACTAAAAAATTATCAGAGATCTTTGATCGAGATTTTAGAAAATGAGAGGAATTTTTTACTCGGCGCGTTTTTCCTCGAATCGTCGTGAAAAAAAAAGAACCAGCAACATGAAGAAAGTGAATAAGAAATCGAATCCAGAGCTAAAAAGCGTTTCGTAAAATATATAGGTATATCTTGCAAATCACTAATAATAATTACTTGCAAATCACTAAAGGGAAAGTATTTCCTAATTAATATATACAGACGACGAACGCTAATTCTTTGAGATCGGTCGTAGAATCGAGCACATCTTGAAATTATTTCATATATATATAATTAGTGTGCGGACGCGTAGAGAAAGAGAATACAAAAAAAAAGAAAAAAATACATAAACATGCAGCACCTCCAGAATATAAATCGATAAGAGATGTATAGATTTAATATAAATGTATAAATGAGAGTATTTTTCAACGTAATTTGTCGGACGACTTTTTGGATGTGTTATAACGCTCGAAAAAAAAAAAAGAAAAAAATTATACTTTGCGCACATGACAACCGATCCTAAAGGGTGTATCATCTTTGCTGTGTATCTCTGATTTGTACCAAATTTCGATCGATTTTATTTTCCCGTCCCGCGGAATCGATTACGCACTGATAAATACCATTAAACACCCAAGTAGCAAACTGACATGATTAAAACGTCAAAATGACGTCATTTTGATATTTAATGACGTCAATTTGCTACCTGGGTATTATATTATATTTATCGGCGCGTTTCCTGAACGCGGATATCATCGGATTACTGTCAGTATAGCGATTCTCTCGCGTAGTGAAAGAAAAAAAAAGAAAATATAACAAAAACTACAAAAAATACATCACCGGCGAGTAAAGTGCTCAACAGAATAATCCCCGTCAAGATTATGTGTTCAGAGAGGATACGTTATACTCTTTACGACGTCGTTTAGCGATAAGATAGCCTTCAGAGGTCTATATTCAGAGAATAATGTAATCCTTCTACCAAATTATATATATACATGTATATAATTATAAATGTATATTTCATGTATTCGTTTTTAAAAATACAGTAAAACCATCGTTGTGTCGATACAACCCTCGAACGATTACCTAGCATCGTTTTCGCTCGTACCTTTTCCGTCTGTTTAGAGAAGAATGTTTAATAGGATTTGCGACTTTGTTACGTAGCAAAATCGTCCAGAATGTTTATTATTCTTCAATTATCTGAAAAAATACAGATTAAATAAATACATTGCTCTATAATGATTACATCACACATGTCATATATTTGATTTATATACATATATTAAATATATATATATATATATAAATCATTATTGAGTATACATATATATAATTTGCATTTTCTTTTATCGGAAGAAATAATATGCAACTTGTATATAATTAATATAAAAATATACTTACAATAGATGGTACTCGTTATGTTATTATGTGGAATTGATTTTTTCAATCGACCTATGAACTTCTGTAAATGCGATATTTTGTTTGTTATAATTGTCAGTCATACTTGTAATTTATAACATGTCTTCATTTCTCATTATATGTGCAAAAATATTGAGATAATAGGTTGCACATCTTAATTTCTCTCATATCCTTTCAATTTATGAATCAATTTATAATTCATTTTATAAATTTATCTCAAATTAACAAATTTTACAATTGATCAAGAGCCTGCTTCTTAGCAATGTCATAATATAATCTAACATAAACTCTTGGCGAGTATCTTGATGTGCGTATCTTGGCTTTAATAGATGCTACTTCAGCAGGTGTTAAAAACGATAATAGTTTTTGTATTGTAGGTGTTTTTTCATATTGTTCGGCTTGTTTTTTAAGTCGTAACAATACTAAATTTTCGGGCATTAGTTTCCTTTGTTTTCTCCTCAATGCTCTTTTTCTGCGACATAATTTAAATGCTTCTGCTGTTGAATTGGTTTGTTTTACATTATGCTGATCCGATGAAATTTGTTGCAGTTGTTTGGGGAAGTAGGATTCAACCTCTTCTGGAATATCTTCAAACAATGCAATTTCCGGTACTTCTGTTTCAGCTTGCCTTTCAATTTTCAGATTTTCAATAAACATGCTTGTCGAGTTATCCCCATCGAGTGTTTCCATTTCAGTTTCCACTTCTATCTTAACAGTATTAGACCTGAAATTATTAGTGGTAGATTTGTTCGGCAGATTTAAAGAAGGTGCGATGCCGCGCTTCAATTTTCTGACTCTGAACGTCACTAGGTAATCCTCATCTGCAAAGTGCCGATAGCACACAGCACATTTGCTTATCTGCTCATCGGTCAGATGTTGAATCTTTTCAGAGTAGATCATGTTCTTCCATTTTTGAAAGAGAATTGGATTCTTAGGTATCTGATGAGACGGGGCGTCTCCGCCCGAAGGGCATCCCAAGATGCAACATGCCCTCCCCATAACCTAAATGTAAAACAAATTATTTCATCAGTAATCAAATACATTTATTTATTCATTTAGTCGTTTCTTTTTTTTTTTTTTCAATCAAACAACTTACCTTGGTTGCATCAGTATACTTGTCACTCCAAAATATTTCCAAACAATTCAGTCTTATAACCTCAAAATATGTCTCCTTTTATTTTAGTGATAATAAAAATTAGATGGCAGAGAATACAAATGTCACTTAGATGACAGAAACGAGAATGCTTCTGCAATTTTTATTTTTTTTTTATATATATTTACACAAATATTGCGGATAATAAATAGAGGAACACGTTGCACCGCGATCAGCTGATCACGTGACGCGCGTTTAGCTCCGCGGCGCGCCGACAGATGGCAGGTGGTCGTTTCTCACTCCCAAGTTGGCAGTCACGCGTGCGACTAGCTTCGCGTCGCTCCTCGTGCGCACGCGCACGCGTCAGCAACACTCGAATCGGCGTGCGAGGTGCTCTACGCGAATTTGAAAAGTGCGAGGCGGATCGGGAGCGTCGCGTCCTCCGGTGCCCGCGTTTGACGTTTCTCGCGGATTTTCCCTTCGCTCGCGCGCCACCTCCTTCCTCGCGATCCCGAGTCGAAAATCCGGGGTCGAGTCACGCGTCCCGTCTTTGTGTCACGCCGTGCGTGGCATGCGAGGAAGTGCGCCGGTAAATCCGCGTCCCGTCTTCGGAGCAGCGCAGGATTATGATCGATGAGCCGCTGTGACGAGGTCCCGCTGGAACGAGAACGACGATGCAGCGCAGTGGTAAGTGTACACCTGATGTGTATATATATATATATATATATATATACATACGCGCGCCAGGTGCGACGAGACACGACGCCGACCATTTTGGGCGCCGTCCGAAATTTAGCCGTCAATACGGCGCGACTGGTCGATATTAACGCCATGGACCGACCTAACCTACCGATACACACCCCAGTCTCGTAATGATTATATACTCTAACACAGCTCCAATTAATTGCATCTCTTGTTAGTGCGATTTTTTTTACCTTCTCTCCTTACATGACATCTGCTCTGTCACAGTAAGAAATTAGGAGCGCGAATCTAATGTGATCATCTGTGCGCTTTTTTCTCATTTCTCTGGAAGCTGTGTGTGATATGTCCATTCATTATATTTTGAGATGCGTGTAATTAACGCTGTAAGAATTAATTTGATATAGTTTGTATATACAATTTGTAGTTTGTAGGTCATATCTTTCTCTCTTTCTTGTAGCTATATTGTAATTAATTTTAACAAGTGTTTAAGACAGATCTTTCGAGATTTTTGGTTCATTTTTGTATATACAGGATGCATCTAAATAAGTGCGAAAAATTTTAGGATGAGATGATTCTTTGTCGAAAATCAAGTTTCTTTTTTTGCTAAAGAGGGAGGTAAAAATTAAGTTTTTTTTCTCAAATTTCAGACAAATTAAAAAATGAAATTTGATGGATATTTTCTACTAATAAGAAGAATATTTATTAATATTTATTAATATTAAAAAAAAATTAATTTTTATGTTTCTCTTTTAGAAAAATTAACTTCTCATAAGAAGGGATATAAGAATATATGTTTATATAAGAAACTGTTTTTCATTTTTGACAAAATATCCTCTCCTAAAATTTTTTGCACTTATTTAGATACACCTCATTAGAAACGAATATATTTCATATCTTACTATGATATTTCTATACAAATATATCCATAAATCATTTACATTTTACAATTATTTTTTTATTATTTATCGCAGATCAAAAAAACGTGAAATAAATTCGATCGAAAATTTTAGCTAAATTATTGAATTTATTTGTAACGTGAAACTGAAATAATTAATATACTTAACGTCATATCTTATTAAAAACACAGTACTCCAAAAAATTTAAAAACAAATAAAATTTAATTCAATTCTAAAAAAAGAACGATTATTTATAGTTGTTTCTTCAATAAGAATTGCTGATTTATACATGTGCACATGCATCGCATATACATATGCGCATATCTATAAAGCATGTGTGTGTACAGATTGTTTTATTCATAAGCAAAAATCTATGAATCTTTCTTTAAAAACCCGAAGAGAATTCGAAATAAATTTGAAGATTCTGAAGAAGAGTTTGTAAGGCAAACTGCATTATTATGCAAACAAGAAAAGACAGATGTACAGTGTTTGACGTTTAAACATAGAACTTTAAGACTGTCCTAAATATTGTTCTACGTTATCACGATCGATATTTTTTATTACTTTTTTGTATTTTTACTACTTCTAGTATTGCTTAATGCGTCACTTTCCTGTTTGACGAAATATTACATGTATAGTTATTTCCAGCTATTAGCGTGCACTATATTTTACCCGATTAGTTTGCGTTAAGATAATATTGTCATTGCCTGCTGTTGGTTCTGCATAGATAACGCACCACTATATTTTCACGGATGCCTGTTTCTAATCAGTTTATGACAGGAAGAGATTTGACATAAAAATGTACACTGACATATTCAGTATATACATTACGTATTGATTAACATTAGGTATCCATTACGTATTTCACACATATTTTTTACGTAATATATTACGTATATTCTCTGTTTAATATATGATTTATAATTATAATTACAATCATGTATATGCATATATTATAAATACACAGAGTGTATCTAAATAAGTGCGAAACATTTTAGGAAATGATTCTTCGTTGAAAATTAAGGGGGGTTTCTTATACATATAAAAATTTTTCATTTTTTTTAATATTTAGTGGAAAATATCCACCAAGTTTCATGTTTTAATTTATCCAAAATTTGAGAAAAAAAATAAATAATTCTCCTTAATTTTCGACAATCATCTCCTAAAATTTTTCTTATTTAGATATATCCTGTATATTATAAATATATTTTTGAAATCAATATATAATTAATTTCTATTTTATAAATAAATACAGTAATACATATATTAATATATTAAATAATAAAATATTAATATATTAATATATTAATATATTAAATAATAAAATATTAATATATTAATATATTAAATATTAAAATTAGAGAAATATGATAGAAAATGTTAACATAATTTCTTCCAGAGGTATTATTACTGGAAACGATCAACGGATTGACCCGGGAGGCATCGCGGGGTTAAAGAATCAATTCTGTTAATCGATTAAGAGAATATGGGGAGAATGCGAGAGAGTAGGAGGAATGTAGGAGAGCGATGGTGGAAGAGGAAGAGCAACGTGAGCGCGAGGATGGCAGAAGAAGCGAGCTTCTTCGTCGCACGTGAGAGAAACTCCGGGTGATCGCGAATCGCCCGAGTCGATGCGCCTTTAGTGCGAATCGCGTATTCGTCACGCGAGCACGCGATCATTCGCGGCATCTCCCGCATATCCTACAAATATCGCGGCTGCTCCATTTTTCTTCAATTATTTATTCATTTTCGAATTATTTTTTCCACGAAAAACGACGATCCAAATTTATTGTGTATACGAAAAGACTTTAATTTATTCGGATCATCGAAATCAAGTTGAATCTGCATCCGGATAGAATTTTTAAGGATCTCTCGTCTTACGTTCGAATTCTGGAATTTATGAACGGAGGGAATTGCGAGATTTTTTTCTGTCGAGTCAGCCGGACAATTATTTCGAGATTGGGTGCCAAGTCGCGAGGATCGGGACATTAAATCGTAGGATTTTTCGATCCGACCCGGTATATCCGACACGCCTAGCTTCGTGCCTTTATATTGCGCGATATTTAAAATCCACCCCGGGAATTCCGTTTTCGGAAAATCTATTTCCGTCGATGGCACCCCTCGGTGCAACACACGTGGCCAATCACGACGATTCATCGCGATAGAATGCGACGATAAGACGCGGATAAGGATCAGGATGGAGACTTCCACGATCGCTCTGCACGATTCACGTAAGAAGTCCATTTCCGCATATCTCCCTTCTCTTTCATATATATTATAAATTCCCGGTCTTCACTCTTCGATTCTAATATCAAATGATATATTTCATAGGAGAGAATTTTCTGAATATCATTTATTTTCGAAGATGGTTATACGGATAAAAAATTATTATGTGTATATATGTTAAAATTATTATAATATAATTATAATAATTGCAACATAATTATAAATTATGTATTGTAGAGAATATACGTAATGTAAATAGAATATTAATATACATAATGAATATGTAATGTGAATCAATTTGTAATGGATATTTAATTAAGTGGAGATTGATATCCGACTATGAAGATTATTGTGGAATTTATAATTTTGTGCAAAACCATTTTTTGTCGAAATTTTAGCAAGCATGACATTTTTGATATATAAGGACATAATTTTATACGCGGAGAAAATTCTCTCTTAGAGTTTACCCGGAAAATCATGGTAATTGTGGGACAATATGATATTGGAAGAATTTTATAAAAGGTTCTCTGATTAATATTTACCCTAATAAAAAATATTAAATAAACGTGTGGTAGATATTAATTTTTTTATTGTGGCAAATATTAATGAGAGAAACTTATCAAATCCTTCCAATATTGTCTCATGATTACAATAATTTTCAGAGTAAATTCAAATTCTAAGAGAAAATTTTCTTTGCGTATAGTATATCAACAACCATTGCAATCATAATTAAAAAATATATTTATATTGATAAAAATCCATACCTATATATAATCAGACAAAATTATTCCGAATTTGCTATTTGGAAAAATATTAAAAATTTACTTTATAAATAAAAATCTCCACTATTTCTTCACAACGTGATAACGACGAAAAGTCTATAGTTTTGATAAAAATTACGTCAATATATATAGTATACAAGCATGTAAAAAAAAAAACACAGTTTTAACGTAACATTCCTGTTTCCTTCCTCTTTCTTCTCCCGGACGATCCTTTATTATATCGTCCTTGTTCCTTATCGTCCTTATCGCGGTTCTACAAACCGCATATCTCCCTTCCCTATCCCACTTCTCTCGTTTATTTCCGGTGCTGTACGGATGCTGGACGACCGCATGGGCAACATCGCCGATGACGATGACAATTACGACGACGACGATAACGTCATCACCGTCACGGTCGCTTCGGACACCACGGCAGCGGTGAGTCTCTCTCTCTCTTTTTCTCTGATAAGGCTAGTCGCATTCCGATCGTCGTGCAAGTTGGCTTCGTGTTCGTAATATTAATACCGCGTGAGTTGAGTTTGCACGACGATCGAGCGGACTCGCACCGATCGAAACGACGGAGTGTTGCGGTGCGAGAAATATTTTGCTATTTTTTTCGACAGAGTGTCAGTTTTATGCGACGAAAGCGATATTATTTCGCAAAGTCGAAACTTGCTGAGAGCAATTTAGCTTGATTGAATTTTTATCCCTTGAAATTAATTAATTAATACGTTAAGAAATCTAAGATTTGTGCCTTTGCGTAAATATTTCTATGTTTCTTTTGTCGAAATATTATTTAATCTAGGAAAAAATACTGTATTGAAATTTTCGTGAAACATTTATCGTGAATTCTATTCTGTGCTAGACTCGTATTGTTACAATTTCTAGACGTTATTATTTCTAAGCAGTTATTCTGAAGTTACAACATCAATATTGTCTTTCTACGATTCTTGGAGATAAGGAACAACAAATATATCGAGCAAATGATTCAGTAAAGTAAAGCTTGTTACGATTTCAATAATTTAGCAACGCAACTTAACAATAGTTTTTATTTTTTTTTTATTAAATAATACTTATTTTTTTATTAAATAAAAATTATTTAAAAAATATATAAAAGAAACACAAGAAAATATATAAAATTTTCATATAAAAATATTTTCATCACATCTGAATTAAAAAGAAATTAAACTGTAAGTAATTTCGATAAAAAATTTAATTTACATTTTATCATGCACGATCAAACTATATATGAATAAACAAATACAGTTTGTTATACATTCAAAAGTTTTTTATGCATAATTTGTGAAACAACATCATTAAATCTCTTTATTTTACACATTTATTATGCGCAATAAAAATAATAAAAGCTATAAAATTAGCAAGTTCTTTCTGTGCGATGTAATTAAATTCCCAAATATTATATTATTATATGTAATAAATTAAATAAATAATATTAATTGAATTAATTTGAATTCTATTATTTGTGTATTTTTCGACGACTTTTTATCTTTTTCAATAACTTCAAAGCAACATTATAGTTATCAAAATCTCTCATCCATGAACTTAATTAAAGAATAAATGTTAATAAATGATCGTACATTTAAAAAAGATTTATCAAACTTTTTTCTATATATATAAAATAGAAAAATTAAAATACATTATATCAAGTGTCTTTAGGAGTTTCCTTTGATTTCACCGAACAGCAACTTGTGAAATTTATTCGTTCTGTCTCCAAATCGTAGAATGACATTCTGATTTTGAATTGATATATTAGTATTTGCTTAAAAGCTACGAATAAATAAAATAATTATTGATTTTTATCAGTCGAATCATTCTCGTTTCGCGTAAATAATTAAGAGTGATATCGAATTGTGAGAAAAAAATCGCAATCGCGTTTTTGCGGTCGATCGATGCGCGCGATTTCTCGGGACGATATAGTTTCGCATACCCGACGAACTAGTTGCGTGATAATTGATGAAAGTGTGACCTTTCGTGAATCAGCTGGAGTCGTTATTTGACGAGCAATCGTATAAACGATGTCGGCGACGGACTCGTCGACGGCGAGACGCCGCTTGAATCCGGCTGTTCTCGCCAGATATAATTGCCAGAAGAACAAGGAGTCTCAACAGGTAGTTGTATTATCACTCGCGTCACACAATCACTTTTTTTATTGATAACATGTATAAATAAAGGGAGAAGTGTTCTTCCTTTGTTAAGTTTGCTAAGTTATCGCAACAACGCTCAGATAAGAAACATATTTGTTTTTAATATTATATATATATATATGTATATTTATTTTTAATATATAATTATCTATTTAATTAGTTAATTAATCAGTTGAAGAATTTAAGAATGTTGTAATTTATTTTTAATATGTGTGTATAATTGTACATGTATATATTTATTTTTAATGTGTATATGTGTGTGTATACAGGATGTATCTAAATAAGTGCGAAAATTTTAGGATGATTCTTTGTCGAAAATTAAGAAGAGTTTCTTATATAAACTCTAACATATACTCTTATATCTCTCCCTGTTTTTTCTCAAATTTCAGACAAATTTAAAAATAATGCTTGGTAGATATTTTCTGAAGAAAAGAAAAGAACTTAATTTATTTCTCAAGGAGGGATATAAGAGTATATGCTTATATAAGAAACTCCTTAATTTTCGCCAAAGCATCATTTCTAAAAGTCACACTTATTTAGATACACCCTATATATAAATCGAAATATTGTTACATTGATAAATACATTATTTAATTATCGAGACTGAATTTAAGACAGATATTGACATTTAATATTCAATATCGTTAAAGACATAAATTCATATCGTAAAAAAAAATTACAGAAAATATATATGCATGACAATTTAATAAACATTTGTTTAATTAATAAAATCATAAATGAAATAATATATTATGTATTAAATTAGAATTACTCCGATTAGTATTGATTTGAATTTACTGAATATTTGATGGTTTTGGCTTCATTGTTATGTAGAAATAATGTATTAAATTGAATTAATTGATGATCAAATTGCAATATCTAACGTATCGTTTGATTGGCGAAAAAATGATTTCGAGGCAATTTTTCTTCGGGATTGCATTGTCTTGAGTCTGGACAATTTTTTATTATTCTCCTCGTATCGTTCTTTCGGATGTGTGTACGCACGCACGCACGCACGCGATCGACGGTGCTCTTATTAGCCCAACGTCTAATTAAGGTCGCAACCGGGCATGCGTACTTCCTAGTGGACGCACTAGAATAACAAGCGTGAAGACAATGCGAGTGCGTTGACATCGCGAAATCGAGAGTCGGCGTGCTCGAGTTACTTGGAGCTTAATCGTCTCGCACGAGATATAACACGTTCGCGTTCTATTAATGTTCGTTGACACGTGCTCGTTGACACCGGGACAATCGTCTCTCCGATAAGATCGTCTCTTTCATCCTTTCCGAGTTTTAATTCTCAGTCACGAAAGCGCGAGATTCTCATCAAAAGTAATTGAGATCTAGATTAGCATATGGACGAAAATTACTGTCTAACTAAAAGCTCCAATTTTCTCCTTTTATCTCTAATTTAGCCAATTAATTAGTTGAGTTGCTGAGGAATTTATAAACAGCGTCTGTATTATTTTTACTCCAAATTCTATTGTGTTCTATATAGCTTTAAATTGCGTATTTGATTTATGAAAAATAATGAGTAATTTTTCTTGTTAGATATTTATTTCGGAATATTATTGAGATTCTCTACTATTACAACTTTCACGTTGGATGTTATTATTTGTAACTGTATTACTGATATCCTTCATATGATTTTTAAAGCGCCAAAATCATAAAATATTCAGTAAATTCGAATCAATATATTTACTCAAAGTAATTCTAATTTAATACATCATATATATTATTTATCATTTATGATTTCGTTAATTAAACAAATGTTTATTAAATTGTCGCGCACATATATTTTCTATAACTTTTTTATACGATGTGAATTTATGTCTTTAACGATTGTACGATATTGAATATTAAATATCAATATCTGTCTTAAATTCAGTCTCGATAATTAAATAATGTATTTATCAATGTGACAATATTTCAGTACTATATTACGTTTAAGATACACAGAGAGAATTTTCTTTTAGAATTTGTCTTGAAAATTATGGTCATCATAATAAGACAATATGGTATTGAAAGAGATAAGAGTTTCTCTGATTAATATTTATATCACAATAAAAATATTAATATCTACTACAGTAAGATATAAAATATCTTTGATTAATTTTATTAAAATATGTAGTAAAATTTCAAAATATATTAAAAACTTATGATTCTTTAAATGTTAAAATATTTTATATAAATTTTAAAATGCAGCATATTTTCAATCCAGCTTAATCGCTTATAAAAATTTTAACACACATACAGCATAAAATTACCAAACATATTAAAACTTGTAGTGAATTTTGCGATAAAATATAACAAAAAATTTTCTCCTCATAGAATTAATGAATGTCAAAATATTGGTAAATCAAATTCGATAGAAAATATTCGAAATATTGTTTCATCAAATATCTCGGCAGGACATAAGAATACCTGTTTCTTATTATTTATTTTTATGTGTAAAGAGATTTTTTCATCCGCGAAATAGCATTTACACCGAAAAATAAGTGTTCAGAATCCTTGCGAACGGTCTCGCGCATCTCCACTTGCGAGCGGCGCTGAAGTATCGGCGCTCGATAAGTTGCTAGGCAACGAAGCTTCGTCCGCGCGCCGCCGCGGCGTCGAGCGCTGCGATCGCTCGCGCGGCAGCTGTCCGCGCATGCGCGCGCGCTCTCTCTCTCCCCCCACTCCCGCGCCGCTTCTCCCTCGCGGCGGCTGCGTCAGGCGTGGTCGTCGCAGTACGTACGAGTCGGGCGTGTGGTGAGCGTGTCGGCGCGGAGCGAAGACTTATCTCGAGGACGCGTCGTTCGTAGTCTGCGCATCGTGGTGTGTTTCGTTTTGTGCTCGGCTAACGAATATACCGGGTTTATCGCGTCGTGTTCTCCTCTCCGTCTACGCACGAAAAATCGACGCGCGAACGATGAACGTAAACCAAGTGAGAGTGAAAACGCGGCCACGCACGACCGGCTCGCCGACAGCGTGAATCATCGGCAACACCGGCTCTCCGACCCTCGGGGAGCCCACACAGTGCGACGCACGTTACAAAAGTCTCTCTCCCTTTCTTTCTTTCTCTCTCTTTCGCGCGCGCGCGCGTGTTCTTCTCCTTCGACGCCTGTTTCTCCTTTCCCGTGTGAGAACAATCCTGGGATCTCCACCTACGCAGCGAGAACGGCGCCGAAGGGACGGTTAGTAGCGTGTGCTTTTGTGATACCTCGAATTTTCGGGCGACGATTTGAAGACGCGTCGAGTGTACATGTATGTGCGACGAAGACGGCTGGTGGTGTTCCTCTCTCGTTCAATTTATTAGGACTCGGTAAATTTATTATATTACGAGATAAATATTCTCCCTCGAGTACCATGTTTTTTTTTTTTTTTTTTCTTCGAGGTTCGTCCTCGAAAGCGATTGGACGCGCTAGCTATTGTCTCTGGTTAACGAAATACTACCTCCATTCGACACAAGGCTGTCCGGAAACCGGTATAACTTGGATGAATTTTTCGACGTTCCGGACGCGCGAAAGTGACCTCTATGTTTACGTGCAACAATGGAAACGCGGCATGGGGTGTCCTTTAGCAAAATGTTGCATTGTACGAAATGTGACGCCACTTTCAATTTCTCTTCGAATACCACTCTCAATTTTCTCAAAAGAATCACGGGAGCTTTGTCCTGTTGCATCTAAAAATGCACGATTTGAGTAAAATAATTCGTTTAATCGATTTGTATAAATTTATACTCAATTTATATTACATTTATATAAATTTTTATATTGAAGAAAAAATCGTTCAATTTCCTAGAAACCTCTTTTAATTGCTTAGTTACAATTGAATTTTCGTTAACCAGAGATGTCTAATTTTTATTTATAACGACCCTTCTCTTTTCGATCGTCAAGCCGGACTTATTTGTTTTCACTTGGATTTTTTTTTTTATGCGCGCGATCACTTTTACTCCGCGATACATTCCTGATATCGTAGTCATATCGCGAGTCAAATACGCAGACAGCCGTCAACATGAATCAACAACGAGCGATTATGCGTAAACAATGATTCGTGCATCGCGAATTTGAGTCCGGGATCGCTTGAATGCGAGACGTATATAAACAAAACATAATTTTCTTCAATATCGAGTTGAGAATGCAATCTTTACAAGTGTATTTGCTTTAATTAAATTTGATGATTATCAAAAAGTGCACGTCTAATTATATGCAAATTTAATGCAACGCTTGATATTGAGTAATTTATTATCTTTATTAATTAGTTTTTTATTGGTAACATATTTTCTTAAAGTTGTTTGCGTTTCATACATAAATTAATGAGATATCGATCTACGATATTTAACTCGTTAATGATAAGTTTCGTAATTAAAGGCTTCTTTATATATAATTTACGGCAAAAATTGAAGGCGGAATCCTAATTATAAATTTTATATATGTTATGTATTTTAGAAAATATATCAGAATACATGTATATAAAAATCGAAACATTTGACGTATAAAATTATAAATATGGAATTTCATTTAGAATTTTATGCAAATTATAAATTGTCTAAAGAAATCTTAATGATAATAAAATTAAGAATTTTCTATTTTGCATACTGAATTTTTTCAAATGTATATCAAAATTAAAAATTATTTATTCAATTTTTTGATAGTGTTTAGACTTTATTAGGCTTTGAAGAGGCTTTAGTAATAATATAATTAAACTTCAATTTTATTAAAAATATTTTATATCCATTAATATATAATTTTTCGAGCATATTTAATTTAAACACAGGAGAAATGGCGCTGCATTTTCATCTTACAATATCGAAAAGCATCGCGAGCATTGCTTCTCCACATTTGCATTCATTCTCTTTCGCGGATCGATCCCGAGTCCATTTCGTTCATGAAATACGAATCCGAAGCGAAACCGCCTCCGACGTTGTCCGATTATCCTTGCGGAATAATATAAGAGTATAGAACTCGCCTTGTTACGGAACACCACTCTCCGTCTCGCCGCGAGGATAAATAAAAACCGCATCTCGTGTATCGACTTTCGACGTTCGATCGAGAAGGCTTCTTTCCTCTTCCTTCTCCCGAGAGGAATCGGTTTTTGATCTCAGTCGCGCACGTTGAAAAACCTTCCGCGGTCTTCGACACATAAAAGCTTCTCTGTAATCTAATTTTGTTGTCGAGAAAAGTAGCCAATATTTTTACAGAAAATTCGATGCATTTTTTCATTTTTATCATTAATTTATATATATTATTTAGTATATATTTATTATATAAATACTACACATATATTTGTTACAAAATTTATTATAAATTGTTTTATTATTCATTAAATTATTAAATAAATTTTTTTATTATTTTGTATATAAATTTATTAATAAAATATATTAATACATTTTGTGCTAATAAATTTTATATCTATATTTCTGTAAAAGAAATAGGTTTAAAACCAAGTGTATCCGTGAAATAAATTGACCGTATTTTTCCATTATCGGGATAAATGCTTTACCGCGTACTTACAGAATTCCCTGATAGCTTAAAAGATACCGCCGAACGTGTTCGAAATAAAGTTTCGCGGGAACAAATCAAAGCTCTTCTCGATCGGCGTATGTGCATAGCCTCCGGAATGCACTCGATCTACAATTACGCGCGTTGGCGCATTTTACACGTCGCTCGAATCACTATTGTGCACATCGACGATTTTTTTTTGTTTTTTTTTTCCTATACAGCTGGACTCTAGTTTCATAAAACTGCATACCGATAATACTTGTGCTAATAATAAAATATCGTAATTCTATAATAATCCTAAAAAGACATCTAGGAATTAAATTGATATTTTTATTATTTTCGTGTTAAAAATAGAAAATCGCGTTTTTGTTAAAACTTCATTATTTTTAATATATTTAGGGAAAAATTATTTAAATTTTGCTTTTATTATGATAATTTATAAATTTTTGTAAATTTCGAAATTGACAAATATAACATGTAAAGATTTGATTAACATGATTTAATAAAACTAAATAAAAAAAGTAATATATTTATGTTCTTAAAAATATGTCAAATAGATATGTAATTAAAGTAATGACAGTTTTATGAAATAGAGACCCAAAAGTGACTTTTATATTCCGAATATTAATCCTTAAACCGAAATATCTCCGAGAGACTGAATATAATTAATAAATTTTTTATTAATGTTTGCATATACATATATATATTTATGAATTTTTATTTTTATTATACATACATTTCAAAGAACGCAGCTAAAATATAAAATACTCCGAGCAGTCTCAGATATCTCGGTTTCCTTAACACGTTCGCTACCAAGAATATCATGAAAAATCTGACAGATAATATTACGCGCATACGACACGTGCATACATACATACATACTAACGTGACACATCGTACACGAGAGAGCAACGAACCTGTTAACTATCTCTCCGATCTTTCGATTCAAGGGTTTAAAATAAATCCGCGGCCGATTTCGCACATCCTAGAGAGAGAAACACGAAAGAAAGAGAGAACAGGAGTCCTTGTACGGGGTGATAGAAATGTCAACGACGGAGAACCAGAACGGCACCGCGGGCGGCGCGCAGAGCAACGGCATCAAGACGCCGTCCTCGTCGTCGTCGACGGCGTCGTCCACGGCCTCCTCGGGGATCTCGCCGTCCGGCGGCGTCAGTCGCGGCCTGCCAAACAACAGCAGCAGCAACTCGTCCTTCCTCTACAGCAGCAGCACGATGCTGAGCCGCGAGAAGGCGCGGCAAGTGCCGCCGCCGACCCTGCCCAAGTACACCTCGAGCTTCAACGCCGGCTCGAACGGCGGCGGCGTCGGCACCGCTGCCGAGCGGCTCAGCAGGGACCGCGAGACCGGCGGCAGCTACCGGCTCGCCAGCCTGGACAGACTCGCTCTGCGCCAGAGGATACTCGACGGGGACAAGGCGAATGGGGAGCCCATCTCGGTAAGCCCGACTAGGTCGGCCGACGTTAAATATGCATACGAATGTATAATATATATGTATAAAGTTCGAGAAACCCTGGTGTCACGCGAATAAACTCTAGGAATTCTTCTGGCATTCATATGCACGTACGATAATTTTATCATCTGGAATGTATATTACTTCTGTTAATGTGCACAGAGAGAATTTTTTCCTGGGACAATATGGTATTGGAAGAACTTGATGAGTTTCTATGATTAATATTTTTTACATAGAAATATTAATATGTACATAGAAAAATAATTAATCGAACATATTTTATTTCTTATTGTGGCAGATATTAATATTTTTATTGTGGTAAATATTAATCAGAGAGAAACTCTAATAAAAATTCTTCCAATACCTACCATATTGTCCCAGGATTACTTTGATTTTCAGGGTACATTCTAATAATATAAGAGAAAATTCTCTCTGTGTATAAGTTGTCTGAAAAACCCCGGCGACCTAAAAAGTTTGAGTCACTTCTCTCTTTTCGAAGAAACTCTAGGAATTCTTCTGGCATTGATACGCAGCGTAGAATAATAATTTTGTCACTTGGAGTATGTTATTTCTGTTAATGTACACAGAGAGATAGAATATGGTATTGGAAGAATTTTATAAGTTTCTCTGATTAATATTTACCAGAATAAAAAATATTAACATCTATATTACATTAAGATATAAAATGTGTCGATTAATTTACTGCAATATGTGTAAGTACATAATAAAATTAATCGGACATATTTTATATTTTATTGTGGTAGATATAGTAATAGTTTTTGTTGTGGGAAATATTAATTAGAGAAACTCTTATTAGTCAGTTTTGGGAGGCTCTCCTGTAAACATTGAGTCGGAATATAAACCGGACGCACAAATATCCCCCCTAATAAATTCCTCTGAGAAAGAGAGAGAGAGAGAGAGAGAGTCGAGTATATACTCGCGTCGAAAGAAAGTGCCAAGTTCAAGTTCAGTAACATGCAGACTGAGAGAAATATTGTACGTACGTCGACGACAACAACAACGACATATCGTTAAACACGAGAAGACGAGTATAACATCATCTGTATTGTCGATCTACGAAGAGCCGGTTGATTCGTGCCAGAAAACACGGAATCACTTCTTGTTCTCCATATTCATTCGTGTGCGCGTTTCTCAACGTTTCGCCCGCGTTTTTATTTTTTATCCCAGTAACGAATAATATCGGCATCGATATTCACACGTGTCAAGCGAGACACGTACCGTCTTGTTTCGTTTTTTAACGTTCTCGTGGGTGCTTTCGATGCGAGCCACAGCGGTATCGTATAACGACGTATATGGCTGGAGTGACAGTTTTATCGTGTTCTCTTGAAAGTTTCCTTTAGCTGCGGGAGAAGAGACGCCACGTGTTACACTTTTTCGTCCCCGGTGTGAAGGACGAAGGAAAAAGGAAAAACGATTGGAAGAAAAGAGAGGGTGGAAAAACATCATCAAGGTTGCACAGTGTTTTTATGCGGAAAAATTGAGGAACATGTCGACTGCCGAGCCTAATCGGCCTGAATCCGCTGATGAGCGCGGCAGCGCCATCAACGGTGCCATCGTCAACAACAACGCAACTACCGTCAACGTTAACGTCAATCTGTTGGAACCTCTCGCTGCGTCGTCCAGCCTCAGTCAATCACCGACGAACTCCACGGCGAGTTTCTTCAGCGTTGACTGTAGCCAGCAGACGACGTCGTGCACGAACTTATTGTCGAGAACTTGCTTCAGGATTTTTAGTCAGGATTTCAGTCTGCTCACCTGCTCGAGACAAAGTCCAAGTCCGCGTAATAATGGTGTGTGCAGTCCTCACGCCTCCGACGAGGTAACGCCCAGAACACCTTCCCCGTTGTCACCTAATAAAGAAGGAAGTCTAGGTTGCCGGTGTTCAATAGAATTAGCAGCACCCTGGGCGATTTTGATAATCTCAAGATCTAAAACGATTGCGATGCGCGTGCAGGAGGCAAAACTTTCGAAGAAAGGAAGGAGGGTCCTCAGGGGAATTGTGATTCGAAATTTAAGCGAGGATAATCCGCGGTGGTGTCTGTCAAGATCAGGAAAACGTCTTCTTTTTATTATATATATAAAATTCTCTTATATAAAATTCTTTCAATATCACATATTGTTTCATAATTATCTTGATTTTCAAGATATATATTCTAAATGAAAATTCTCTCTGTGATAGAAAAATTGTGCTGACAAAGTTATGGACAAAATTATTGTTCTACACATTATAATGTTATCAAATAATCTGAGCTTACATTTACTTTTATCGGTTTTATATATTTAATTTTAAAACTTGATTTTATAAAATATGTTTATATATGAGTGTTAATTCTTATAATCTATTGGATGTATCATCCAAGCAGTTAGAACATGTTTTTCCGCAATTTCTTATATAAGTGGGTACCTCACTTTTCCACTTTATTATATGTATGATAATGACAGTCTTGTTTTTACATGTTTTTCGCAGAAAATTACTTTCAGATAAATCCATTATCATAAAAAAACTCACGATTCTCAATTTTATTCTTGAAAACGGAATTCTCAAGGTGGATATAAACTTACCAAGTGATTCCTTCAGCTTGATATGTCTATTAAGGACTTAATTTCGATACTTCAACTTCTGTGATAAAACTCTCTCGAGAAAATATCCGACGAAAATTTCAATCAATTATATCAGTCTATAATATCAATGCTTCGAATCGTCAAAGAATTACCACCGAGTACAATTCGTTTATATTACACTTATACCGCCATTTTATTATTCTCTCTCAAATAAAAACTAAAGTGACAGACGGCAGAAGCTGAAATCGTTTTACATAAATTTTATATTAAAATAAATATACATAAACACAGAATTTATTCTTAGAATTTACCCTGTAAATTGTAAATCATGATAATCGTGGAAAAATATGGTATAGTATATAGGAAGAATTTTATAAGAGTTTGGTTAATATTTATCACAATAAAAAACACTAATATCTACTACAATAAGATAAAAAATATGGTCGATTAATTTTCCTATGTACATGATAAAATATTTTTTGTGATAAATATTTAATCAGATAAACTTAAAAATTCGTTCAGTTATCCCACAATTACCATGATTTTCAGGATAAATTCTAAGAGAAAATTCCGTGTATATAATATAAATCTGAATTTTTTCGCCGAGTAAATATGCGCTGCAAAAATTCGCGCGCATTATGAGGCGATCTCGATTTGAGAATCACTGTCGGGAGAGCAACACATGGCGGAGGATGAGGCAGACCTCCCTCGGCCTCGGTGCCTTCTCGGGCCCCGTTAAGGGGTGCGCTAAGTCGAGGGTCCCACCCTCGTGTGCGCGATCGAAAAATCCTCGAATAAATTCGTGAGTCATACGTGAAGCAGAGAGACGAAAGATGCACGTACTGATGGCATAGCGATCGCTGACTCACTTCGTATTTAAATCGTGAGAACGAGCTTTTTATCGCACTTTTTCGTGCGTCTTATCGCGAGAGAATCTTATTTATGAAACACATTTTTACAGACTGATCAAATTACGAAGATTAAGTAAAAAATATATTGAAATTGATATTTCGTATCTATTGGGATTTTTATTTATTTATTTTTTTTAATATATATTTGATTGCGCTGGAACCCTCCTCTTCAAACTAACTTTCTTTAATCGATTGAAAATAAAAATTTCTGACTAAGTAGACTTTATGGAAAAAATAGATGATTTTATTCTGAATTTAGAATTTTCATCTGAAGCTCACAATTACATAATAATATACGCGTAATTTAAATTGAATCATTCGAAATTGAAATTTCCGAGAGTACTGGTGAGAAATTGAGAATCAATCGTGAAAACGACGGCAATTTGTGAAAAAATAGGCGGGAATAAACGAGACGAGAGATACTAGAGCACGCATATACGGTGATAAAAGTATCGTTGAAGCGAAGAGGGTCTCGATCCCGAAGAGGGAAAATGCTCGAGTTCTCTCTCGCGACTAATCGCTCTGACACATTTTTACGAACCGGAGAATCGACGCGATATATATTCTCTGATAACAACGTCTCTACTGCGACTGACTGAAAGATATAGAGAGGTACACATTCGCTCACAGGGAGAAAGGTCCCGAACAATCGCTCCATTCAAGACTGCCGATATCCGGAGGGGTTATAAATTCACTCTCTCTCTATCGTGACACAATTCGACTTTGTTCGCCGCGCCACATAGAGTCGTTTTATTTATTTATTTATTTATTTCATTTATTTATTTTTTATTCAACGCCGAGCGCATTTCACGTCGATATGCATGCGTGCTTTGTTATTATTGTTTCATGCTTCGCTCTCTCGTTTTACATTTTTACAAAGTTTTACGATATCATTGTATCTTTACAGGATATATTTTACTATTCTCTCTCTATAATGATGATTTTACCATTTGAATTATAAGTCTACTGAAAATATTTGTTGTTATTGTTTCATGCTTCGCTCTCTCGTTTTACATTTTTACAAAGTTTTATTATATCATTGTATCTTTACAGAATATATTTTACTATTCTCTCTCTATAATGATGATTTTACCATTTGAATTATAAGTCTACTGAAAATATTTGTTGTTATTGTTTCATGCTTCGCTCTCTCGTTTTACATTTTTACAAAGTTTTATTATATCATTGTATATTTACAAGATATATTTTACTATTCTCTCTCTACGATGATGATTTTACTATTCAAATTATATAAGTCTACTGAAAATATTTGACATACTTCGCTCTCGTTTCACGTATATAAGTACATGAACCAAAAATAACTTAATACATATTTAATTCAATACTGCCAAATGAATCATTTATTTGAAACAAATAAATATTTGAGAATCAATCGTGAAAATGACGGCAAATTATTTATTTGAAACAAATAAATATTTGTTTTGAAAAGGATTTTCTTATATTAAATAAATATTTTTTATATCAAATAAA